TGCGGAGTCGCAACTGCTGCGTTGCCAACGGCAGCCATTCGCGACAGCGCGGGCGCAAATGCATTGCGGCTTCCGTTGGGCGTTATGCTGTGGTACAAGCGTTGCACATAGTAAGCCTACACTAAACGATTGTTTAAATTTACTCCAAAAAATTACTTTTAACAACACTTTGGCTAAAACAGCTGATTTTGGCTGAACAACGGCAAACAGTGTGGCCGTATGCAATCAATTTACAACAACCTGGCAGCATCGTCTCTGTTTTGGCTTATCAGTGCTGAGTTATTTTATTAAGTCAAATAACATATGTTCAAATAATTAAGAAATAAAACCGTTAAAGAAAAAATAAAAATAAAAAAATCAGCCTAGTTATATATGAATTAAACTCTTTTTAAAATTGAATTGAAAAGGTTTCACGAACAGGCAACAAATTTAGCTACTTTTCATCAAGCCAAACTGTATGTAGAACTGCACAACACTGCTGCTTGCTGGTATAGCCGAAGAGTAGTGGCAACGCCAAGCAAGTAGTTTGTATTGGTGCGCGTAAAAGGCAGCTTGTTGCAAGGTTTTTCCAAACAAAATATTATTTTACGAACATTTAAAAATGGAACAAAGTTAAGCTTACCAGTTGTCTACTTTTAGATGCTTAACTTTATTAAGGAGACAATAATGGCACCGTCCACACGCAGCAGTAATAGCAATGTCAACCAAAACTCAAATGTCCAAGGATTGGACAAGGATCCAGATAAACAACAGCAACGCGCTACAGCCAAGATGCAAGGTTACAAAATAACTGATAATGAACGCACACGAAAATACGGCATAGGTGCAAATTCATTGGAAATGCTACTGCAGAAAGCACAGCTTAAGTTTCCGGTAAGTCTGTTTAAAATTTGAAGCAAATTGCGTTTCCACACAAAATCTGCCTCGACCTACACCCGCCCACGAGTGGCCCTGCACATGTCCCTGTCCCTGGACATTCAAGGCCAATGTTTCCTGGCTGGCTTCCGCTTTGTTTGGCGCTCTGCACGCTTCAATGTCAGCAATACTCATACAACCAATGCGCATGCTTCAAAATAGCAAACAAATCGGTAGCAGAGCACCTGTTGCTATCACAAAAATTGCTACATGTGCACTTAGGTCAGGGCCCATTTTGATGGAAGTCAAGGGCAGGTTACTCATGCTCCCAATTCTTTACCCTTGGTGTCTTTCGACAGCTGCAGGAGTTGCACATTTATCTGGCCATTGACGGCTTTGAAGTCTCTGATGATGAATACTTCAAAAGTTTGCCTGCCCAAACGCTTTTTATTGTAGCTGGACCCGAAGCAGTCATCACAACAGGTAAGGAAGCTTGGCAAAGCTTAAGGCAAATTATTTTGAAAAACGTCTATTTTTTTGAAACAGATGCAGACTTTGAATTTGAAAAAATGCGTCAACAGTCACCGCTGTTGAAAGTATCAGATATTTTCTATGAGTTTATTGAGCAGCATCCGGACAAGTTTCGGCGCATGATTACGGAATATGAACAACAGAAGCAGCGCCGGGCTTTAGACAATGGCAAAGCACATCTTAGCTTGAAGGCCGAGCACCTGGAATGGTTTGAGGGCAGCGAGGAGCGGTTTCAATCCAAGGAAGAGGCCATGGCCATGAGAGCACAGACACGAGTGCGCGGCTACTACTATAAGACCAAGGAGGAGCTAACACGCAATCAGTTGTACAGACAGAATGCCAAGGCGCGGCAGGTGATCAATTCGGTGCTAGACCAGTTCCGTTATCTCCTCATAGGCTGCGATTACTTTTCCATGATATTCAATCGTAAGTGCCAGCTTAAGCATGAGATGTTGCAGCAGCAAGTGGGCGAAGAGCAACCAGATGCGGCTAACGTGCCCAATAAACGGCTACGGCAAATCATTAAAGACTATACGTCGCGCCATGCCATACTCGACGAATGGTCCGTTTCGTTATGCACGGACCTGGGCGACTTCTATTGCCAGGGCGCCTACTCGGACAATGGCAATAACTGCTCGTTGCGGCACACCATAAACCCGTATGCCTCTCGCGAGAATCTTATATTGTTTCAAGTGTGGAACCTTGATCATCAAATAGAACTGTCACGCTCTATTTTGCCCGCTTTGGTGGCCAATGTTAAAGAGCTAGTATCACAACCTCAAAGAAAGTGCGCGCTGCACAACAAACGCATAGTGGACATCTCTGTACTGGAATATTTTCTGGAAATATTCTCGCTGAAAAACCTGAAATTAGTCCATATTGTATGCCATGAAAAAGTGCAGCGCTCAAACCATTCTAATGGCCGACTCCTGTGCGGCGATTGCCACGAGTATCGCATTGTACAAGAGCTCATGGATTTGCAGAAATCAGACACAACTTCCTAGGAAAAAACTGTTAAAGTAACCTACTAAAGCAATATTATACACAATAACTATGTACTTATAACTTATACTTGTGTATGCGAGCTGCTTTAACTGTATGCCAAGTTAAGAACTGTGTATATACATATGATTTAAACAGGTCTCAAACAAGTTAACCTAAAGCCAAATTGTACAAATCTAAACAAAGTATCTCAAAGTTAACTATCAAAGTTTAGTGTTGAAAGTATTTATAATGATTGACATATTTATGCATTTAATACATGGTTAAAGTTGATCTGCATACCATTTATACAATATACATATATAGACTAGCTTTAAATGTTGTTAACTGTAGTGCGCGTAGATGAGTTTTGAGCAGGTATTTTGCCCGTTGCTTTGTTCAACATGTCTATTTTAAGATACTGTATACCCAAATATATACTATATACTTAGTTAACCGGTACATAATATACAAGGATACGGGTAATTGATTCTACCTAAATCTAAAATCAAAATGTATATGCCATTATTTAAGTGCAATATGAATATTACTAACAACGATTTTGCTACGCTCGGCTTCTCTGTACCTCTAAAGAAACAAAAGATTTTAATGTATTTGACATTTATTGTTGCAATTTCTTTTTACTGACTTTGTGATATGATTACCATTTTCAAATCAAAGATTTAAAAACATTGTTTTAAGATATTTCTTTATTTACTAAAAAATTTCACTGCATAAAAAATTATACAACACAAAATATATGAGTATGAAATTATAATAGTCGTCATATAGATTTTATAACAAATTCGTATGCATACGAATACCATATGTTTGTTTATGTTTTGTGTAAATAACTATGACAAACAAAAACTATCTTGTTAAAAATGAAAAGGTGTTCTAAATCAAATGTCGCTTGATGAAGACAACACACAAAGATTTCTTAAACCAAAATTATTTATTTTTATAAGTATTAATCGTTTTTAAGATGCACGCTCGCATTATCCGGATAAATATCATGTTTGCTTGGTCGATTTGCTGTCATTGCGTTGTTTTCGTTTCGTTGTTATCTCATTGCGTCTAAGGGTTAGTTCTCTCTCGTGTAAACATTTTACATACTACAGAGTCAAGGTTAGTAATGATTCGCTTCGCTAGTGGTGTTCGTAAGTTTTGTTAGAGGTTTTAGTGCTGCTACCAAATCGCGATTAACAATTGAAGAAATACATTTCCATCTCAACTACTATGCTACGTTAGTTTGATGAAATTTCACTAAAAAACTATTACTGCAGGGCCCGTTCCCAAGGTATATCTGACTGTGTTGATCCTAAGTGTGCTGGTACTTAAACTAAGGACAAAGTCTGTTGTCAGGCTATAATTGATTTCTATGGCTTTGAGAAATAATTATAGATCCGATTGTCCAGGGCCTGGAATAGAGTAAACAAAGGAATAATTAAATGAATGTCGAACGCATCATAACGTTTACGAATAAAGCTAACAATAAGTTGTGGAAAGTTGTTTGTCTTCGACTTTTTGCTTAGTTTGTTAAACTTTAAAGATATCTAAATCCGAAGACCAGACATAGGTAGAACATAACAAATACAAATGAAGCGGCAAATCAAAATTGTAACTTGCAGCAGTGCAAAGCAGCCAAAGAACTTTGAGAGGAAACTTCACCTTAATTGTTTTTATATATGGTATGTTTTTTCATTTGTCAATTTTCTTATAATTTTTTTTAGGGAAAAAGCCATTCATATTCATTGTCATCAAATTAAATGATTAATTTTTGTTAAGAATATATATTTTTTATTGTGTGTAAAAACAAGTTAATCAAGTATAAGAAAAGAAACATTCAATTATGTATTTTAACTCATGAATGGTTAATGTTACGAACGACTTTTTATATTGTACAATTTTCTTCCGTTGATGTTTTTTAATGGTATTATTTAATTTACTTATGCACAAAAAAATCTTCATTCGTTGTTCACCATTTTGTTCAAGGTGGAGTTTGCTCTCCAAAATTCGTTTTTGAGTAATCGAAATTTTTGTAAAAAGCTTTGTGGAAAGATATAATAATTGCATTAAATATTTGCGATAAAACTTTGTCCCATTGTGTATTTGATTTTTTTTTTTTTTTTTTTTTTTTTGTAACTTAGCCAAGTTTGAATTAGGTATGTACTACGTTACATCTAAGTGGGGTTAATGTATTTGGGCAGCTACTGAACACTTGTGGGTTAATTGTGTAACATTATTTAGATACAAACCTGGTTAAATTGGGAAATTTTTACTTAGATTCGGTTTTTTAAAAAACTGTGACTATCGCAAATATTTGTCGCAACAAATTAATAATTAGGAAATACGGCACATATAATTAAAAATCAAATAGCGGCAAAAAAATAAAGAAATACATAGAATAGATAGTGGTCAAATTTGAAATATATAATGAAAACATTGAAAAGAATTAGTTCAAATTTGGGTTGGATATAAATTTTAATTTAATTTAGGTACCTTAGGATTTTGAACGAGTTTTACAAAATCATTGAGTTGATGAAATTGTTTTTGTTTTTGGTTTTTTATATTGTGGCGATTTGATAGATTTTGAGTTGCTTTTGTTTGTTTTGTTCTCATTTTTTTTTGGTTTTGTAGTTATTTTTTGAATCGATTTAAAAATACAAAAATATGTATATATAGTATGTAGTCGAATTTAGAAATGACTGGCGAGGACTTTGCGCTTTTATTGAGATAACAAACGAACGAGCGAACGAACGAATGAACGATTTTCTTTGGTTTAAGTCTGTTTATATACATTATACATTATACATTATACATTAGAGATTTAGTTTTTATTATTAGTCTGTGTGTTGTCATATTGTACAATGTGATGTGCTGTGATTGGATGAGAAATGCAAGAACTGGCTCCCTGACCCGCCCCCTGCCCAGAGTTGCTTAACCCAAATGCAAGTCGATTAAGATGCTGATCCACTAATATCAAGGTGTGTACGTGTGATTCCCGCCCCTAGCTATACACAATGAGCTATCCCTAAGCAAACGCTAGGCCTTGCGCCAGCTGCTAACGGAGTGTTCCCTGCTCCCCGACTGTTGCCTAAAGCATTCGGGACTTTTGCTGCTTCGATTGCTCAAGATTTCGGGTGACTCTGTGACACGGGCCAGGTCGCGATTGATTGTCTTGGAGCTGAGAACGCGGGGACAGCGCACGGTCCAGGGACTGCGTCGCGGATCCTGTAGCGCTCGGAAGGCCTTCGAGGGCACAATCTCTTCACCGCCGCTGGCCTCGGTCCAGCTGCTGTAATAGTCGGCGTACTCCTTATCCTGCTTGGGCGTAGGTGCAGGCGTGCTATCCAGCGAACTATTGTCCACGGAATCCATTTCCTCCGCCAGGGCGCGCTTGGCCGCGGCCTGGAGCCGTTCCATCGGCAGTTTACGCAAATGCGTGCTGTCGCTCTTCAGCAGCAGACTCTGCACCAGCTCGTTAACCAGCTTATCGCTGACCACACGCTGCTTGCTGGGGGATGGCCCGACAATGGGCGAGGCGGGACTGTTCGGCGTGGAGGGATTGTCCGCATCGATGCTGGTGTTCTTGCGCAGAGGCAACGAGAGACGTTCGCGTCGTTGGGTCATCGTCTCGGCCTCGCTAAGTGCATTAGGATTTTGGCGACGCGTAATGGATACATTGTGCACAATCTTGCGTCTGCTGGGCTTAAGCTGGAACTCGTCCGCCTGTCCAGCCTCTGCCGCTTCGGGCAGATCGTTCTCGTCCTGGAGCAGTTTGAAGAGTCTGGAATGTGTGGCGGCGCGCTGGTAGCTCGTCATCTTACGCAGCTCCGGAAAACTTTCGGACTCAGTGTCCGTCTCTGACATCTGCCGATTCATATCCGTCACGCCTGAGTCATCCTCTTCGATTTCTGACTCGGATCGCTGTGTGCTGCTATTGCGGGACAGCTGTCCCTTGCCACGGCCGCTGTCCACGGACAACGAATGAATATTCATAACCTTGTTTAGAGGGGTTGCCCCAGTTGTTGTTGCTGGAGTCGTCTCGAATACATTGATGCGCTCGCGCACCGAAATTTTGGGTGCTTGCGACACACCGAGATCAGGTAGACCGTTGGCTAGGAGTTTTCTTTGCTGCTCCGGCTCTGGCTCCACGTAAACTTCTGGCAGTTGGTTGGTCGGTGTGGTTGCTTCTCGATCCTCGTCTTCTGCACTGACCGTTTGCAATCCATGTTGTTCCACAACGACGCCATCTTCACCCACAATTTCATATGCACCTGGTGAGCCCAGCTCCAAATCGGTTGGCTCCGCTGATTCCAGGATTACGCTGCTGCGATTGGGTTGCACTTTTTGCTGTACCTTGTGCTCATCGATGGAGGTATTGAAGAAAGCCATGGCCTGGCGATAGTTATGACGTTTCTGCTCGGCTTCCTCCAACTGGTCATTCTTGCCACGCTCCTGTTCTATATCAGCCCAAAAGTCAGGCTCATCGCCGCTCTCCAGGTCCACGTTGGCTTGTGTGCTAGGCGTCCAGGTGTGCACAGTTGCTGGCTCATGCATGGAGGCCAGCGACATAGTCTCAACTGCGTCGAGATTGGGCTCTGGCGTCTGTGGTGCTGATTGCGCCAGTTTGTCTTCTTCATGCTCAATCTCTTCGTATTGCGCAGCTAGCATTTGCTCCTCTTCTAAAACTGGATCAACAATCTCTGGCTCCTCTCCCCGAGCTCCCTCCAAAGTGGCCCATACATCGATTTCCACAGCTGGCTCGTCGGGCAGCTTGGCGCGAAATGCTTTAGTCTGCACGGGCTTGTAGGGTGTTTCTTCCACCGAGTTTTGGCGCTCTTTGCGAGCCCAAAAAGTGGCGGATTTGTGGAAAGTTACATCGTCATCATCCGGATTGCGTTTCGATTCGATTTCTGTCCAAAAATCAATTTCTTCATCGGTATCAACCTCGCGTGGCTCCTCAGGATATTTGGTGGGATCGAATTTAAAGTCGTTTTCCTTGTTGTCAGAGCTACCTTCAGAGGACTTTATGTCGGCCCAGAAATCCATGTCCTCTTCCTCGGCAATTGGCTCTGTTAGATTTACATTCGGGCTTTCATCACGAGTGTCCGCTGACTGATCTGACCAAAACTCCAACTCGGGCTGCTTTTCAGTCTTCTCGGACTTGGCTTTCTCTACCGAAGCCCAAAAGTCCTCCTCGTCTTCATTCGTTTCCTCAGCTCCTGGATTTTCTTCTACCACGAAATGAACCTCAGCACACTGCGATTGGGGCATGTATTTCACATTGGCTTTTAGGGTAGTCGTCCAATGTTCCACTTCGTCCACTGTTTCCTTTTGTAGTGGGATATACGTAACCGTTTTCTGTTTTTTTGGGCGTTGACTTTCCTCTTTGCTGTTTTCAACGCTAGCCCAGAAGTCAATTTCTTCCTCCAGTTGTTCTGGTTCATGGAGAGGTTCAGGTTCTTTGGCTGCCGTTGCAAATGTGGACCAAAAGCTGTTCTTGGCTGCCTCCAAAGAGTCCTGAGTCTTGGATATGTCACACGATTTTGGTCTTGGTTTTTTGGCATGTTCTTCGTTTTGCTTAACTCGCAGCTTCACAGTTTCATTTGGCGCAGGTTCTTTTGCTTGTACTTCTGGCTTGGCCTCTGTCGTTTTCCAATAGCTCTTGGACTGCTCCATCATTTTCTGTGCTTGCATTTTGGTGGCCAAAAGCGTGGCAAAGAAATCGAATTCCTCTTTTGGTGCTTCCGAGGTAACCTCAACTTCTTCTGTCGGTTTCAATATCGCAACGTTATTTGTTAGCTCGCCGTGTTGGGTGTCCGCTAAGAACTTGTTGCGCATGCCCAGCGAGATGGAGGTGGATACATCTTCAGTGCTTGCCTTTATGGCACTTGGGAGCATCGCGGACTTTTCTACGGAATTGGAACGGGAGGAGTTTGACAAGCTGATGGTAACGCTGACCTCACAATCGTTATCCTCCTCATTATCACTCTCGATCTTGGCTATGCTAAATGAATTACGTTTGCTGTCCAAGCTAACACTCTGGCGTCTCTCCTCGTTCTGTGTGCTACTGCCCACCTCCACGGTGGCTATGTTCTTGTCATTTGAGCTGCGACTAAAGCTGAAGCGCAATGGCAAACGCACAGTGACCGAATTAGACTCGTCGTCATCGTCATCGTCATCCCGATCATTATCCTCTATTTGCTCTTCCAGGTCGTCTTCTTCTACTTGGCGAGCTCCTATGGTAGCAGTACTGGCACTGGATCCATTGTGGTTAATAACCGTCTTGGCGTAGTTGCTGCTGCGTTCCAGCTCGCTTTCCTCCTCATAAATGGTGCTTAGATCCTCCTCAACAACATAGTCATCGTCCAGTTCCTCGATCAGGCACTCCTGCTCTTCCTCATCAATCATTTCATCAGCTGTCGTCCCATCGTCGTCCTCACTCTCGGACTGCAAAGGTTCCACTGGCAATTGACCCAAGCCCTTGTAGATCTGCACATTGGTCACGGACTTGATGGCCTGCAGCGGAGATGGGGAGTTGCGACCGGCATGCTTGGGTGTATCTGAGTCTTCTTCATCCTCGTCGCTGCTATCCTCAGAGTCACTGTCATCATTATCGTCTAGCATGGCAGTGATCAGCACTGGCGAGGCGTTTTCACTAGGTGAGCGTGCTCCCAGCTCCTTCAGATGCTCACCGGCATAGCTCTTTTGGAGCTGATTGGATAAATTGGCTTGGGTATTGCCCCCGGCGATTTTGTTAATGTTGGCCAGACGCTGGCTGAGCATATCGATTACCTCCTCCTTGTTGCTGCAGATATTGCGCGTCTTCGACCGACTAACCAATTCCTCAATTTCAACGGAGTGCGCTCGCTTGGGTGGCTCACGTGGCTCCACTTTGATATGGTGCTGCATTATGACCTTCGAGGGCATATCGTCGGTGCTTGGCGTTATTATAATATCGGGCAATACGCTGCTGGCGCGACTTTCGGCCGAGCTTTGGCTAAGGCTTGGTGCTACCGGATATGGATAAGGACCATAGTTGGGCACAAACTGAGGGTGGTAGCCATGCTGCAGAGTTTCATTGGGCGTGGCTGGCTGCCCATAGGCTGGTGGGGGAGGCAGATAATAGGGGTAGTAATATGGATAGGGTGGATGGCCATCCGGTTGCTTGCCATCCACCGTGAGAGGCATGGGTGGTGGGTAAGGATAGGGATAGGGCCAATTTAAGACTTGAGGCGGTTCGCCACTATTCTGCCCAGGAACGGGATGGGCTGGTGGCGGCATGTACCAGGGAAAGGGGTAACCATAAGCGTAGGGATAGTGCGGGGGCACCGATTGCGAGCGCTCTGGCTGCATCTGTGGAGGGCAAGAGCTGTCTGAACTAAGAGAAGATGAGGATGAATATATGCCGTGAGAAGTGCTTGTATTCGTGTCTGTTATGGGAGGTGGAGTGGGCGTGCCTGATGCATAACTATGACGTTTATTGATTTTACTGTTAATTTCTCGGTTATGGTTACTCTTTCTGATATTATCATTATTCTCATTATTATGATTAATATTATTATGATTATTATTATTATTATTATTATTATTATTATTATTGGCTTCGTTCAATTCAATATTTTCCAAATCCGAGTCCAGCTCGGTGTGAATTTTATGTTCTGAGGTCGGTTTGGTGCACGGTTATCAAAAATAAATAAAAAGAAAGAAGAAAAGATATAGACACGGTGAGAGTGCATATTATGATCAATACACCAACAATTTGGACTGTGAATGTTATACAGATTAAACAATCGAGCATAGCTACTATATACAAAGTGAAATATACGGATATGTGTCGCTGTAAGGGTACGATGACAGTACATATATGAGATATATCTGTTTGTGGATACGAACTTATGTGTATTTGTATATCAAGTGTACAAAACCTTTAAGCTGATCCAAACTGGAATTCAACATGCTTTAAGCTTAAATGCGAAACATATACAAATCAAAATGAAATCCAAGACAGATGAAGTCTCTCAACAGACAATACAATCAAGAACTCTGTGAAAATCAACATAATGCATGATGTACGTATAAAAATAAAAAATAAATAAATATAAACAAGTGTAGTAAATGTGAGTGCGAATAATTGTCTGATTGTTAGTGGATGGCTAATGGGATATATACAATGTGCTTCCGTTGATCCTTCGAGTGTGTGTGTGTGAGAAATAAGAGAAATAAAACCCAATTTCTTGCAGTGTATTCATATTTCGTAGACAAAGTGCACTTACCGGCATTCTCTGGTGTTGTCATTGCCTGTAAAATTTTAAATGATCGACTCGGTATTGCGCTGCCCGTGTACTTCTTCGGTTCCGGCGCCTGCTGCTCACTAGGTGGCACGTATTGTTGTTGTTGTTGGGCTGAATCTGTTAAAAGCAAGGGCTTAAGGTACGTAATCCTAAACAATATTATTGGGTTTACCGTATGGAGAACGCTGAGGTGTAAAGCGGTTCTGAGCAGACGCGCCGTTACCTGCAAGGAGAAGCGATTTCTTAGAGATTTAGTCTTAAGTTTATGGGGCTTTATCTTCTACTTAAAACCAATTTATTTTGCTTAGTAGTGCTGGAAATTTTGAGCCGAATACTAAGGCGTTACCATATTCATGGTGGACACACACAAGAAGCGCATTAGTTTTTTTTTTTTGTTTGTTCCAAATGGTTTGTTGTGGCTTAAAGCGTTGTGTTAGTACCAGAACCCGGAATAAAAGACCAAAACTAAGGGGACCGAATCGAAACCTTGCGACACTCTCCGGCTAATGAAACCTTACCAGTCCAGTTTGCTACAGAGAGAAGGGAAGGAAGGGCCACCATTGAGAGCTCACCTTGCGGGCACCAGGCTGGCGGCGTGCCCGACTGTTGATCCTGCGCGATTTGCAGCCGCCGCATTTGCTCAATGGTCGGACTATTCCGCGCCTGCTGAGCGCTCATCTGGCGAGCGAACTGTGGGCGCTGCAGCTGCGGCAGCTCCACCTCCAAATGAGGCTGCTGCGGCAGGTGGGGCGACTCTTGCCTGGGATCGCTGCTGACATCGTCCACTGTGTCGGTTATCTTTTGCAATATTCTAAACGATTTCGATTGTATGGGCGGTGAGCGTGGATCGCTGCAAGTAGATATATAGGCGTATGTTAGGTTAGGTTGTTGGTTAGCATGCACTCGAAATTATGTCTGAAATTACCAAATTGCAAATTTTGCTTGTGAGGGAAACGTGTGCTGGGGTTAACTAGTATTTGTGAGTGGTTTACTTTTCCGCTGACACCGAAATTTTGCCAAGCATATGAGAGTTTGTATTGCAATTTGTGCCCAGGTATTGAATAATGAGCTCATGACAAGGGAATGCCTTGCAAATTATAAATGGGCTGACTTATGCATGTGAAATACACACTCAACATTCAAAAACAGAATCAACAGGACCTGGAGCAGAGTTACGAGCTCACTTTCAAATTTCCGACTGCTCCAAGTCCCACTTTACAACACTGAGAGATACACTTTGTTATCGGGCTGCGACGACGACGGCGACTGCGACTGTACTACCTGAGTCGATTCTTTCTGTAGCGTATCTCAGCCTCGAGCGGACATTGATGCACATACAAATTGTAATTGCCACTAAAAGACGTAAGTCGTTAGGTTTTGTAAAGAAGCACAAAATTTATACGCATTAGTGCTGGGTAGTGTTGCAAACTAGTTGTTAAGTTGTTTAGTGTTGGTAAAGCACAAAAAGTATTGTAATATAGCATTTGTTTCAAATACTCAACTGTACTTACTTTTGTAGCACGACTGGTGACTGGGAGACTGGACCTCCGCGTCCCCCTTCAATCGCAATGGGTATAATGCGAGTCGAATTATTGCTGATGCTATTAGAACTAACAAATTGTTGTTGTTGTTGCTGATGATGCTGATGATGCTGGGTGGGTGACATGACGCGTTGCACCTGCGCAGACGCTCCTGTAGCTGGATAATTGTTGTAACCTTGATCGACAAATTGATTAGCTGAGCGTATTATGTGGCCAGCAGGCGCTTTCGTAGGAAAGAAAGAGTATACATAGACACATATTGATATCGAGATGGAAAGTTACACAGTGGACAAACGGGAACGGGAACGGGAACAGTTGTGGGATAGTGGAGAGTGTATGGGTTCGCATTCGGGGTATATGGATAAACTATATATAGGGGCATGATTAGTGACAAACATTAAGGTTTGGGAAGGCGCCATATAGAGTCTTAAATATAAACACAGAAACACGCACAAACAAAAACCAAGCAAGCAAGAGTTAAATAACAAAACTTACCACCGAAATTGGGCTGCGCAGCGGCATAAGTTGGGGTTTGCTCCAGTGTAATGGGAATTATGCGCTCCTGCAAATGGATAAATTAGCAACCGTACGCCAATTGAATACCCTGTAATTTTTAATTATACCTTGGGACCACTCTGGTTTACATTGTTGCTGTTGATCTGCAAGCGTAGTCCACTCTGCTGGGCTGTTGAGCCAAAGTTTTGCTGAGCAGCCGGGCCGGGCGAAGTAGCTGCTCCATGGCCATTACTCTGCACCATCTGAGGCTGATAGAACGTTGCAGGCTGTGCCTGCGTTACTGCCGACGGAGCTGTCGACTGTCGTAGAGTGGAGGGCACCACATTGCCATTCTCCTCGGGGCGTGCCCAGGGCGCCTGCTCCTTCGCCGCGGGCTGTGAGCTCAACCAGCGCAGTGGCTGGCCGCCCACCTGTTGCTGTGCCTGCTGCTGCTGCTGCTGCTGTTGCGGCACTTGCCGCATGGGCGAGTCACGAGCTCCCGAAAGCTGCTGCTGCTGCTGTAGCAAGAGGCGCTGTGCTTGCGGCTCCGTGGGCTGCGCTAGTGGAGCTATGTAAAGTGAGCCAACGTTGGTCTGCGCAGAATAAGGGAAAATTTAGTTCAATTAAGGAAGGCAAAAGACGTTTCTAAGGCTTAAAAATAAAATGCATGCATGTGCATAAATGTGTAGCTCTGTCTTGAACTATAGCGTTTAGCAGCATGCAGTTGGTTTAACTGCACTTTGAGAGTAGAAATATATATTTTTTGGTGACCCACCGAAATAAAATGCATTGACAATGAACGTTTAGCTTCCTAAGTGACAGTTTGGCAATTATAAATGCTTTTAGAGAGTCTCTATTCTGAGAGTTTGACCTTAGTTCTACTTCCCCAGTAATTGTAGGTGTAAACTACAAAAATATAATATTAAAGTTCAATCAAATATTAAAAATAATATAAATATTATTTTTAAATCTTTTTTAAAATGCTTACAACTTGTATTAATTAAAAGAAAAGAGACTAGATATTCAGAGTAAAAAATAAAAATAAATAAAAGAGAAGCGACCAAGTTATTTGGGCAATGAGGATCCGGAATTAAGTCCTCCGGCTACTGCCCTAAAAACACTTGAAAATCCTTACATCTCAATGAGCTAGCCATATTTTTAAAGAGCTCGATAATTGGTTTAATACTATTCGATTTGAGGCCCAGTTGCTTACAGCAGTACATATGCCCCATGCCGGGATATTCGCAACCAATTGCCAAATGCCTCAAGTTCAAAATTCGTGTTTGGCCTTTGGTAATATCTAATTTTAGCGGCTGCAAACACGAAATGCGTTCAATGTTCAATTGGCTGTGGTGTGAATCTTTTGTTGTAGCTCACCAAAATGATTTAAAAATAAAACCTAATGCTTCCGCGAATACTTTAGAATGAATAACAGACTTGAGATGCACAAAACAAAATCCGTGGCCGTCAACCATAATTTGGCAATAATTTTTGCTTTTGCATTTATTACAATTCGAGCATGAAGAAAACGTCTTCAATCCAAGTTTATATATTTATATTTATATATTCTCGTTCAGTAATATCTGTCTGTTTTTTTTTCTCACAGTTTAAAAGTCATCTGCCATATGTCTGTCACATCTCTGTCACAAATAATTTTGCTTTCTTTTCAAAATATCTTTAACTTTTTTGCCATTTACTTTTTCACCTACTCTTGACATATTTTAAAACAATTTGAATCTAAATCTCACTATATCACATATGAGAAATCGATATGGCATTTAAACTTCGGTATGGCAAATGCATCCGCTTTTTCTTGTTTTATGTTATTACAGATGTGAATTTGCAGTTAAAATTATTAAACTGAATTTTTTGTTGATGCTGTAAAAATATTACTCATACGCATCGAGTTTGCCAAAAAATGAATTGGCCAACATGCTAATATGTGAGTAAGAAGCTTAAAGGTCGAAATATCAGGTATGTAGTTACCGGCTTAGCTCCTTGATATGACGATTGCTGAGTGCCAAAGTTTTGTTGCTGTTGCTCCGTTCGGGCGGGACTGAAGACATCGCGAGATCGTTGCTGTTGCTGTTGTTGTTGTTGTTGCTGCTGTTGCACATTGTTGTAAATGGGCTGCGAATGCGTTGGCTGCTGCTGCTGCTGTGGTTGTTGCTGTTGTGCAGCGGACTGGGGGCGTTGTGTACGCCAGGGAACAGTTTGCTGTTGTTGTTGCTGCTGCTGAGCCAGTGGAGAAATAGCTGGCGATGGTCGTGACTGCTGTTGTTGCACCAGCGGAGAGATTGCCGTGGCTGGACGCGACTGTTGCTGCTGTTGTGGTTGCTGTTGTTGCTGTTGCTGTTGCTGCTGTGCAAAGCGGAAGGGACTCTCTGTGGCGCGCTGCTGCTGCTGCTGTTGCAACTCGAAAGGCGAGCGCGGACTGTCCGTTTGACGCGTATAGACATTAACAGCCGGTGACTGTGGCATGGCCACGCTGCGGAACTCCTGACGCGGCTGCTGTTGCTGTTGTTGTTGTTGTTGTGGGGGTGTTGCCGGTGGCGTTGGCTGCTGCAGCTGTTGCTGCAGCGGCGGTGTTTTGGGTGAGGGCGATTGTGGCTGCTGCTGCTGCAGACTTGATGGTGTGTATGGGCTGTAGCTGTTGTTGCCGTTGCTGTTGTTGTAGCTGTTGCCAGTTGGTTTGTACCCTGCAGAGACGAATAAACTGGGATTAGGGGATTGTAAAGGATTGAGGAACTGTGAATCTGTTTTAGTGCCGTTAGTGGGAGGAATGCCAATAGATAATGCCGCTTGATGTCTGGGATTAGTCAGATGTCGTTTTAAAGCACCAGAAACCGCTTAGTAATTAGCCGGCGAAGAGCATGAGGCGAGCCGAGGGCCAAGAACTGTACCAAGAGAACTTTGGCCCACTGACAGTGTAAATATTAGAGTGCCCAAAACCAAATGATGCGATATCCAAAGTCTCTCTCTCTCACTGCTCACCATCAACGGCATCTTGGCTAATGTTGTTGCTGTTGTTGTTGCTGTTGCTGTTGCTGTAGTCGCCATTTCCGTTCTGGGTTGACTCGGGCAGGGGGCTTTTGGAGCGCTCCTTGCAATATTCATCTTTCCAGAATGTGTTCTTCTCCACTGGCGGCGGCACCTTGCGCAGCGCCGCCATCGGGTTTGGCGGTATTTTGATCTCCGGCCGGAATCCTAGCGGCGGCGGCTCGAAACGTTGCGGAGTTGGGGACTTGCGCGCCGCTGCCGGTGAACCGGGCGCACTGCCTCGACCCGCTGGTGGTGCTAATGTACTTTGTTGTGGGGGTGGCGGTGGGGGTGCTGCTGCTGCAGCTTGGTTACCGTTCTTACCCGTCTGTGACTGCGGCTGCGGTGGCGGTGGCGGCGGCAGCACCTGAAACGGCATGCCCATTGCTGCGGCACCCATAGAACTGGCGGCGCTGCCACCAGAGCCCGGCGACTGTGGTGAGGGTCTGTTTTGTTGGGCGGCACCGGTGGCGGCGCCCTCGGCTTGAGCATTGCGCGCCAGTCGCTTGGCCATGCGCTCCGAACGGATTTGCGAGAGATCTATGCCGCCGGGCGTATAGGTGAAGGGCTTCTTGTCTTTTGTCATCATCGCGTTTTGCACACAAGCGGGTGCCTCGAAGCCACCGCCTCCAGCGGCGCCCCCGCCTCGTTGTCCATAGCTGTCGGACAATGAAAAGAAGAGCGGGAAACATTCATTAGCATAAGCATATTGTGATTGTTTTTGGTCATTAAACGGTTTCATTTTCATGTTAATTTTATCTTGTTTGGATTTGTTTTTCTGTACGCCTCTTCGTTCTCATTTAACTTGCTATTTATGATAATTTTTGGCATAATCTTTTGTTATTAACTGTTTCATTTTGACGCTCCATGTCAAGAGCCCTCATTTGTCTGACCACACTTCAAGATCTTTTGCCCCCTCCCCTGCATGACTAATGACTCGCTCATCGACAGTTCAATGAGCCAATTTTTTCATGGCAATTTTTTATTTTTTTTTTTCTTTACGGGGAAAGTGTACTGAAGAGCTGCCATTGGCGTCTATAGCCCCTTATTAGTTGAAGTGCAATGCCAAGGGCCATAACGGTCAGATGTTGAAAGTAAGAGCTTGAATGATGAATGGAACTCAAATGAAAAAGAAATAACTAAAATAAAATTATTAAAAATACATTATAAAAGCTAAGTTGTGACAAAGAATACAAATGCATATTTATTTATGGTCATATTTCTTAGGCGATCTCAAGAGAGAGCTTGTGAATTGACACGCTTTTGTGTAGCATAAAAAGTATATTTAATCATTTTTATACATATATATTTTTCTAAACAGAAAATCGATTCAGACTTTAAAGTTAGATAGATATTTGTTTACGATTTTAAATGCCATAAACCAATTTTATTTTAACTCAAATCCGCTTTCTACTGAATTAAACCCGCTTTTGAACAAAAAGTTTACATTCGTTTAATTACAGCTGTATTAAATAAATTGTGAAAATAAATGATGTTAATTAGAACCATGCCACGATTAATAAATATATATATATTTAGTTGAATTGGCTTTGTATATATAACTATAATATATATTTGCAGATATTTATATCCCATTTATACATTACAGATGTAGGAATTGCGCATTGCATTCACAACATTTGAAATCTGGCAGTTTTCTAGGCTTGTCAGGCCTTAATAATACTCATAACTGCGCCCCTTAAATGGTCAGCGACTATTAACAAACAAATAAAATGTAAAAAACAAAAAAAAACAGTTAACAGTTTAGTTAAGCTGAATTTCCTCACTTGCCATAAAAGTGAGATATGTCTCTAGCCTGGCCAGTGTCAATGGACGTCAGTGAATCGTGAGAGGGAAAAACAAACTAACTGAACGACCTTACAATTTTGGATCTGCCTGGAAAATGATGGAGCGTTAAACTCTAGCTAATAACTAAACAAGCCTAATCAATGGCAAGATCAAGTCTCGCACCTGCTGCGCATAGCTGGCCATAAACTCGAACTATTTAATATGGTCAGGTAGCATATCGCCGATGACATAGCTGCAATATACTCTCTATACATCGGTTATGGGTTCAATTAGTGCCGCCTTTGTCAGCGACCGCAGGCGGTTACGTCACGAATCGACTTGGGCTTGGATTTGCATCTGACATTGATGCACTCGCTCCAATTTGCATGTAAAGCGGATTGTGGGATTGCCGCACATCTGAGTTGTGGGTGCTCACGTTTTGGCTTTTGCAATTCTGTCTGCGGTTTGCCTTCGCATTTGCGGTTGGCTGGCTCAACGGGCCAATGGAAAAGTGCTGGCAACACTTTTGCTATGACTTTTCCACTGCAAGCACTTGGCAGCCGTTGGACAACGCATCACCTGTTCCTGTTCGCCTGACCCACTTAGCCAAGTTGTTAAAAGCGAATCATTCAGCACGCACCGTTCATACGTATTCTATGCATGTGTTTGTTTATGTATCTGCACATAAAAACTAATGAAGCTGACAGGCGACAGGCTAACAGACCAGACATGCCTGACAACTTTTCAGAACCCCAATACGAGGCGGAGAGAGAAGCGATGGCCGGCCAAGAGAGCAGCTGCCCATCACTTTCTTTTGGCATAACTGGCTGGCCATATGTTGCTTTCTGGTCCTATGTTAAAACTACAACCGACTGCAACATCTTTAGCACTCAGTTTTAATTAGCAAGCCGTGTCTACGGTTAAGTGCAACTAAATTAAGTAAATTATGCGGAGAGAAGCCGACAACAAATGAATAAGTCAGCGAAATTTAAACTAGCTACATTGAAAATGACTTGTTTAGCGGCAAATCTTTGTCAAATGCAAATTTAATTAATATAAAAATCGCGAAACATAAAATCATTAAATACTTGTATATACGTAGCGTGCTATTCATTTAAAAAATTAAAAAGTATTAAAGTATTGCAAGTAAATAGCTTTAGCTGTCCTTCCTTAGAGCTGACGTCATTTTTATTAGTGTTTATTTATTTTTTTTTTTTTTTTTGGCGCACACGTGTTTAAAACAAATCGACTCAAGTCAATTTTTGAAAGAACATAAAAACTTGGATTTGTTTCAAAATTAAGAACAAAGATCGGACGACAGTGCCGTCTGGTGACGTCAATTTTGTAGGAATCTGGCATCGGTTGCCTCAACCAAAGTCTACGCTAGTTCAGGAAGGCATCAGCTGATTTTGACAGCTTTCGGCAATTAAAGTGTCAACTTGGAGCAAGAGCCAGTGCAAAGTGCAAAGTCAGCCAGGAACTAAGCAACTAATTATTTGACACAATCTACTTAGCATTTCCTTATGAATCATTGGGCTATTGGCGACATTTGCAGTTTGCACTTGCAGCTAAAAATAATTTATTTTATATACATAGCCGAGGCATAGATGAGAAATATGCCAAAAATAATTCCGAAAGAGTATTTGGCTTGCAGCAGCCATTAGCAGCTGGCATCCGTTGGGTTAAAACAGCAGAAAACCAAATGCGAACACGTAAATAAAAAAGCAAAATCAAAAGAAAACAAAAAAAATATAGAAAAACATCTGTAAAATTTACATTTTCACCCTGTGCTCACATGCAAATGAGCGTAGAAAAATGCACAATGCACAGGCACACGATACGCTGGCTCGAAAATAAACTGGATCTGTGGGATCTAGCTGTGGCCAGTTTGTGCATACTTCAAGATCAAGGGCAGCCAGCACACATAACTTGAAAGCTGCCACATGCAACATGACATAATGATAGTCATTGTCCGCCTGTTCTGGCCAGCCTCTGCAGGCAGGTCTATAAATAGAGTTAGAGCGCAACAGGGTGCTTCCCATATGTGAGTTGTGAGTTGCACATTCCACAGAGCTAATCTGGCGTCAGCAACCATATATATGTATATATTTACATAGAAATTGTTTCACTTTTTGCGCAACAAAAAATCCTTATCGGGCATTCCTGTCATAAATTGTTGCTTAGATATATATTCCACACAAGCAGCCCCAGCTGATAGCACCGCCCACTTACGTATCCACAGAGCTTTTGTCATGGCCATTCGCATTGGCATGCGGCAACGGCAGCGGCATCTCCAGCTGAAATCCGCGATCCTCTCGTACCATATAAGCGGGCAGCGTCTCGATGATGGCATTGGCCTTATCGTTGTACGAGCCCAGCAGCTCCCGATACTTGGAATAGACGACGCGCTTCAGCTGCGGATTCTTCATGCCGCCAGCTGGACTCGGAGATGTTGTAGCCGTTAGCGTGGAGGTGGCCATTGTCTTGATTTATTTATAAATTATTATTATTGTCGATACTCAGACACTCGCACTGTCCCCAGACACTTTGCATAGCCCACTGGCTCTGTCAGAATGAATCACACACAAATGTCAAATCAGCGCAAGCCTTGCCAGGAAACAATAATCCATTTAATAAGATAGCTTCTATAGGTTGCACAGTCAAAAGTTGCAAAACATTTAATAATTCCTCAAGTTTCTATTTGACTAGAAATCATAGATGATAAAATATATATTTTTGATATATTTATGAATGTGTAACTCAGTTTAGTCTGTCGGCTCACTTGTCTGCAGATAAGCTTTATCGCACACCCACTCACAGAGGAAAATAGTGCATTGTTTGATTGTGCCACCCATTTGCATGCCCAATCCCCGTGCAATTATTGACTTTGTTGAACAAAGGCGCAGAAGTCAAGCAACAACAGCAAAAAGACCTATGCAATGGCAAGGAACTGACTCAGCCGATCGACCGATCGACGGATCGACCGATTGACTGGCTGCGATCTAAGCAATAGCAAGACCTTTCGGGCTGGTCAGCCAGTCGCCCGGCCTGGCAAACAGATGACTCACAATCATAACAACGGCATCATTGTGAGCATCTTTATCGCCAAAGTGTGCCGGGCGGCTGTGCTGAATGTGTGTGTGTGTGTGTGTGTGTGTGTGTGTGTGGAGCTCTTCTGTATCTGCAAGATACTATACGTTCGCTCATTTTCGCTCACGCATGTTTATTATTTTTAGTCATGAGCTAAAGTCAGCCGAAATAAATAAATAAAATGTTTGCGACATTTGCTTGGCACTGATTGGACAGCCGTGAGATACAACAGTTAAAAAGAGCTTACAGCTAATTAACACTCAAATGCTTGGAGCACACAACAACAATAACAACAACATTCAATAGTTTTCAATACACACGCGGCGCAAATGTATCTTAAAGTTGCGATCGTATGTATCTGAATATAGATAGGGCACTGTGCGACTGCACACATTAAAGTCTCGAAGCACTTTGAAGCCGAGTTCGTTCGACTCGCAACTTCAACGCCAACATCAGCGTCAGCATCGGCGTCGGCGTCGACGTCGGCGTTAGCAACTTGTTGCAGATACATTTGCGGTAGACGCTGTTGTAAAACTGCTGCAAGCTGCCGCAAAAGGAAAACCGAGTGCATGACAAACGTTCGGCAAGCACGCGGCGGCTGCAGTGGCCGCGGCGGCTGTAGCTACAAGATACAAGATACACGGCCTGCCTGCCTGCCAGGCTGTGGAGCAATTTATATGTCTGTCAATTCGCTGGCAAGTAGTTGGACGGCCGCCGCGACTGGCATTTCAAACGCGGCGACAAATTTAAGGCTAAACGCCAAACGCTTTCGACTTTTAGCAAGTATCTTGTGCTTTGTATCTTGTATCTGGCATCTTGTATCTGCGTCTGTTATCGTGTGGCTAATTGTTTTCGTTTGGTAGTCATGTCGCCTGCTTATTACTTTTGTAGCTTTTCATAATTAAAACGACGTTTATCTGTGCCCAACTTGTGTTTTTCACGTTTCGGTATCTTCGCATTCGTGGAAGTTTCGGGGCGTGTTTTTGCCAAAAATGTTTCTCTGCTTAGAGACCTAATTGAGCGCACAAGCTGCGGAAATATGACATGCCGCCGGCCTTGAGATACAAATGTATCTGTTAACTGATAGCGCCTCATTTGTTATCAGTTTGCCCTTTACCTAAAAACACGGTTACTGCTTAGAAAGCCCCGTGGAAAGATTAACACAACCCGCAACAGATGCCACCATTGTACTAGGAAATTAGATTTGTGTGTAACACTAGACAACAAGTTTTCAAACCATTAATTGCACAGTATTAGTTTGGCATAAGACAAAACAAATCGACTCGAAATCAGCTGTGACTAAAAAAATGAATAAGAAGAAAGCAGAGAAAAGTCTGGTCACACATTTTGTGGGCAATATTATAATTTGTGTCTAATTTTATTTTAAGAAATTTCTAAATGTTTTTATTTGAGGACATACATTTCAATCATGAAGGAACGTCCCAGCCATATTCCACATCAAAACTGATGTGTGTTTTGTAAAAAGAAACAATCAATTTATAATGGAAAATATCCACTTAAAATCGAATGGTTCGGCTAGATACTTGATTCAATAGTCGTATACTCGATATATCCATGCGTTTTGCTTACATCTCTGAATTGTCAACCGTTGATTTACCGTGCTCTCTGGTGAATAATTATATTCTTCTGTTGCTTAAAAATTTGTTAAATTTAAATTTAAAAAATAAATTTATTAAATACCTTTAATTGAATAATTGTTCTAGAATTCAGGCGTATCGTTAGAGACCAATAATCGATTTGAGGCACGTTTTTTATATTAGGGACGCATAAGATAAATGGAAGGGTCCTTCGATTTAACTGTCAGTTTTCGGGCTTTGCTTTTTCTGTCAATAACCTAAAATCTGAGCACCTTAAGCGTTTTACAGGTTGTATATTAAATTTAAAAGCCTTTTACAATTATGGTAAGTGGACTTTTCAGCTTACAATTAGACTCAGTCATCGAGCGTCTATTTTAACTAAGAATGCCTTTGCGCACTTGGACCTCTTCGATGGTATTCCCGCGAAATGTCCTGTTAAGGGCTGCCATTCGCAACTGACGCCCCAGGAGCTGCTGGCGCATCTGTTAATGCGCCATCGCCCCGAGGATTCGATGCTGGAGATCGGCGCCGAATGGCACACTGTCTATGACCTGGACTTGGCCAAGCTGACGCCGGGCTGCAATCATGTTGTAGGTGTTATTGCGTACGCCGGCTCGAACAATGCGAGCCGCAGTCGTCCCATCGGGCCGGAGCTGCAGCTTGTTCATCATCTGCCCATTATACTAATGCTGTATGTCAGCCCGCCAGCTCCCAATCTGGAGCAAATGTACGTACTCTATCTGATAAGTCCGGTTGCATCACGCAAAGTGAGCGCCCATGTCAGTCTGCTGCATGGCCCGGAGGGACGTGAGGTACGTGGCCTGCGTTGTTTGCGCAACTTTTTGGATGCCCCGCTCCAGGACAGCGAGGAGCTGCTCCACAGCAACATGGACTATTTGATCTACACGGCAACAGACGTCTGGGAGCATTGCACGACCGGCGATCGCTGCAAGCTCCAGTTTAAGGTGGTCCTGCACGGCGAGCCGGACTTGTTTGAAGTGGAGGATGATCAACAGGAGGAGACACTCTTGCAGGCCACCCAATAATGACTCACGGGTCTGACACCAAACAGCTGGCCCACTACCAAAAACTATGGATCCATTGACGCACTCTTGCGGTCTGAGTGCCTGTCAATAATCTGTTGTTGTTATTGAATGAAACGCTGCTCAGCTGTCAGAAAATGGTTTCAACTTATTATTCATTCAATAATTTCTTGGCGCGCCAAAAAGTGGGTCATACGCTTAGCCAGATACCAGATAGATACCAAACACTTACATGTTGTATATACCCATGCATATCATTTCGACAACCAGCTTGCCGATCAATCAACAAGGGCTACATAATTGAGGGGCCATTGATATTGACTGCATTGTGGCAAACCGAAAAAGCGGCACGGAAAAATGTTTTTAATTAGGTGTAAAATGTTTTTTCTCGCTTTCAAAACAATCTTTTAGAATTTTTTAAAGCTTGTTTTTTAGACTTATTTTTCTGTATGAGTTTTCAATGATTTTATTGCCTGTTAAATTTATAATGATGTTTAATGAGATTTCTGATCATTTGTAACCCGGGCTATTTTTGGTAATAAAACTTAACTTTAGAAATCAAATTTTTAAATGTTAGAACATAATTTTTTGCATTTATCCATTCGAAAAAGTTTACTGCAGATAAAAAATATGATCAGATTAAAAATATGATGATCAGATTAAATTATGAATTAGCTACAGTCAAGAAAAATCGTCTAGAAAATTTGTACATGTATATATGAAAGATTACTTTTTTTTTCAAAAATAAGTTTTATAATTAAAAGAAAATTTTGTATATTTCAAACAAGGTAGGTATCAAAAAGTTGAAACATATATAAATATATCTAATTTTTTCTTCTAGGTATGCTCAAAAACCCTTGTCTGAAGTTTAATATTTCATCGTTGACCAAATATATATATACCCTGTGTGGATTGAGATGGGTCTTACAACTTTCACATACAAATATTACAAATTTCAATAAGATGGTTTCGAGTAACCATATACAACTTATAGAAAAATAAACATATATATATATAGATAATTATAATTATATGCCAACTAATTAATTGGCTAAAAAGAAAACTCACAAAAAATAACAACAAAATTTCAAATTTATGCGCCATTTGCGAAAATACAACGGAAAAAACTATGAGATAGCGAAAAAAATTAAAAGTGAAAAACTGCGATAAACACTGGGCAATAAAAAACTGTTTTGGACGACACCCCCGCACGCAGTAAAAAAAAAGAAAAGAAAACTAAAAAAAAAAGCAAACACGAGCAAATCGTTTCAAATGATTTCAGGCCCTATTCTCAGCGGGCTTATTAGTGTGCGACCTTGAAATTAAATATTCAAAGAAAACTCAACTAACAACAACAAAAAATAAATCGATAATCAACAATTGAATTCGCGTTGCGCAGAGGCCATTCATCATTGAATGGCGCTTTCTACGGCTGCCTCTGTGGTGGCATGCAACTGCAACCCGTTTTTTTGTTGTCATTTGTCATTGAGCTGGGGCCTGGACTGCATTGATTGCATGACATGAGCACATCAGACAGCCTGGTTGCCGCTTGCCCGGCTGGAATCATAATTATTTATATTAATCTGTCGGGTCACCAGCGCCACGGCGCGACTTAAGTGAAAGTAGACCCAAGTCCAAGCTAAAGCTGCAGTTGCAAGTCCAAGCCGAAGTGGCAGCCAGCGCCTGCCTGTTGCACAATATAATGCGGTTATATTTCTTCTTCAGTAGAGATACGAATAAAATTATTTTTATTTATATTTTTCCAAATAAATTTTCCAAAGCCGGCCACATGTGGCCCGTACGAAAAAGGCAGACAGTCAACCAGCTAGTTGGCCCCGCCTGCAGTTTTTATTTTTTTTTTTTTTTTTGTTTGACTAGTAAACAAATTGCTTTTGTGCTCTTTCTGTTTACTGTGAAAAATTGCAGCAATATTGAGTTTTGAGTTGGGCAAAGGAAAAATGACGCAAGCGAATCGTTAGAAATATGTTTGTATGAATAATGAGCAAGTACTCATAAAGCAGACACTTTCCCTCCATTCCGAATGCCACAAAGCTCATTTTAAACTCTTTCATTTATTTAATTCTATAGCAAATGTTTGCACCTTTTCCCATTAGTTGCCTGTCGTTTATTTATTCCTTTTGTGGGCACATATTTCACGGTCATTTCGCGTACGTTTGAACTCAAGTGCAAACACACACAACAGCAACAGAAGCAAGAAAAAAAAACTGAAAAATATCCCACTTAAAATTTTGAATGCAAAAATGCGTAAAATAAATAAATTCACACCCGATTTACGTAACTGACATTAACAACAACCAGCCAAGAAGTGTCAAAATAATTGTCGCTGACAGAAATCTACGTAATGCATCAAAACATCATCGTAAAATACACCTTCGAAATATAAAAGATTCACAAATCAAGTACACATTCGTATATATTGCGAATATAAATTCAAGTTCGCACGAAAATTAATGGATTTTTGTGCGTTTCACATTTTGTTTTTACGACAATTACAAGTTCACATATGAAAGTCATGGCTGAGACGAAAGAGTTCAAAATGCAAATATTTTAATAAATTTGATTATTATATAATATATATAAATATATTCAAATCAATCCTTACACCGATTTTAAATAATGTAAAGACAAATTCTTTGCAATAAAAAAACATTTTTTTGTTTTTTTTTTTTTTTTTCATAAATAATCGTAGCTAATCAAATCTAAGAAAGCCCTCTCCTCACTAGTCCTTCTACAACTATGTAAGCATTTGTGATCAAAAAATATATATTTTGGTTGAAATTTAAAATAAATTAATTGGCTTATCTAAGTTATACTGATCTGCTCAGCGTGGATGTTCTACTATGATATATGTTTTTTTATTTATTCATCAAGTAAACTTTGTCAATACTAAATTCCTAGTTTCCTTATGCCTAGTTTGTTTAAATAAATACCAAAGTTATTAATGAAAATAAAATGAAGCCCAAAGTTTTTTATTCACAGTTTTGAGAGCAAAAAAGTTCTTATAACTGCATATATTTAAAAAATCTTTAGCAAAACTGTTTTTCTAGTACACGAATTTGACCCAATTTTCTGTATATATTTTCGTTTTTCGCAAAGCATTTTCTTGACGGTCGTTGAGAATTTATGGGCGACATATCAACGTCAACAAAGAAATGCAAAAAAAAAAAAAAAAAAAACAAATCGACTCATTCAGAAAACCTCAAAAAATGAAATGCATTTTTATGTCAAATTCTAGGCTATTTCGAAACTTTTCTTTTTCAGACCTCTCAAGTGCGTGGCAGACAACTTCCGCAGCTGGCGACAGGCTATATTTTGAACACGTGTGCTAAATTTACTAGTACGAAGAGTTGAATTTAAAGGCAAGAGTTGTGGAAATTGACTAATTAATTTTCCTTAGTGTGGGAAAGCGGACAAGCTGAAGATGTCGTCTGCCAAAATGCCCGTGCAGTCCCGAGGGCTGCCAACCAAGAGATGAAGCCCAAAGAGACATTGCCAGTGTCATCATCACCACCCCCTCACTTTGAGCATGGGCATGGGTGTGGGCGTGGGCGTGCGCGTGGGCGTGGACGTGGACGCCTGGTGGCCTTCAAATATTATATGAACCTTAATTGAGAGTCTGTTGTCTGTGTATTTCCTAAATATATATGTACATTGATACATATATAAGTATTTATTTATGAGCATAGAAATGCGTGCACATATGTTTTATTTATTTCGGCAAAAAAACAAAAATGTATTCTTTCTTTTATTTGCCGGGCGTGGGGCTTTCATATATTTTATGGTATGGTTAAAGCATCGCATCAGCACCTGCTCCGGTCCATACAAGTTTTGTCCATTAGACTAGGCTGACACAAGCACGTTGTTGTTGAATCTTACGAGCTTTCAAAATAAGCTAATATATAAAATAAACAATAGCTATAGCTCTCTAAAAATCAAATCGTATCGTTTATCATAGATCGACCTCAAATATATAATAATAAAAATCTAGAGTTTGGCTACAAGTAATTCAATTTTAAATACTCGAAACATCATTTTCTAAATACATGTATTCATGTTTCGATTAATTATGTAGAAAAATGCCAAAATTATTGAACTATTATTAATTTTAGGTACACTTTACACATATGAAGATAATGTCAAAATTTGTCAGAAAGTTTTGCATAAACTTTATTTGTCAATAATCTACAAATTGTTATTAGTATTTAAAATTACTTGAAACTTCTTAATATGACGTACCCAGAATTCATTGCGTTTTATGTTTGGTTTCCTGTTTTTTGGATCGAAATATTTATCTCAACTCGACAGCAATAACTCGTAGTCGTAGTCGTAGTCGTTGTTGTTGCTTGTTTGAGCTCTTTTTCTACGGAGAGGTTGTCAATCTATGCACAAAAAAACACTGAAAATTTATAGAAAATTTGAGCAGTTGTTATGAATCAAGGGTTTGCTTTGAATAATTTGAATAATTTTCGGTTTTTATTTTGCACAAAGATCACGCCTTCTTATGTAACTTAAAATTCAGAGGCACTAGCGCGCATTCACACACACTCACACACGCACACACACACAGGCATGCACAGCAAATAGTTTTGTGATTTTGTATTCAGTTTGATACGTAAAACAGCCTCCAAAAACATGTCTAGTCTTTTGGGTTTACAAGAGTCAGCATGAAAAACCTTTTTCACAATTTTCGCGTAAGTATTTTGTAATTTTCTATTTTTAAAACGCGGCACGACGCATTGCTCACTTTTGCCAGTGCTGCAGACTCGGCGAATAGATCTATATATACCGCACTCGGCTATATAGACAGCTAGCTAGATAGATGGATAGATATATGTTAGTTTATAGTTGAAGATTTCTATTTCGAATGATTTTCTCGTTTGCAACGCGTTCAAGTTAGCAGCCCAAGTCGCACTGAATTCGCACACGAACATTTCTTGGGCGAAAAGCCGAAAAAATTCACATTTCGAAATGAATTTCCTTTATATATTTCGGCTATTCTCTGTATGTGTGTGTGTATATATATATATATGCATGTGTGTAAAGTGCGTCTGCTTGGAAAATTCTATGAATTTTGAGTTTATTTAAAAGAAAAATTGAGCAAGCGGCAATCAGTGGGCGATCACTGGCGGTTGTTTGTACTTTTTATTTATTTATTTGTACTTATGAGCATTAAGGCAGCCCCTGAAAGAGCCGCAAATGCTTGCCAGAGGCATTAGGAATGCCTAGGTATATGGTCTTGTACAACATGCAATAAATTAATGCTGCTCTTTGATTTAAATAGTTTGCGATAGTTTTCTCTTTTTCGATATCCAGGTACGAAAAATACGAGTAACTAGACAAAAAAAAAAACAAATCCTTTAAATACAAAGTTGAAAACAAATAAAAATTTGTAGCCAAACGTTCGCAACTGCTCAAATTTAAAATATATCTATATAGCTGTTGGTTCAAAGTGTATTTATAAATATGACCGCGACTGTATCCATCTGGTACTTAAAACGTACATAGGACTGGCAATATGTTTTAGCTTTTTGTCAATTTGATCGGGTGCCAAAAAAGCGAAACGCCAAAAAGAAAACATGTAAACAAATAGGCGCATGCAGCTCGTGTCTGTTTGAGTTCTAGTACATAGAAAAAGCGTCGAATCAGTATATAGTATATAGTATATTTATGTATATATATATCTAAAATAAAAAAAAAAGCTGTGGACCATCAGCCGCCAAATATCATGCACACAACAGTATGAAAGCCAAGTGAATGATACCAAAAGGCTGGGCCAGTCAAAAGTTCCTGCAACGTGGCCACATGCTGGGATATATCACAATAAATCACAAAAATAAAGCGAACACTAAAAGATGTTTAAAAAGCCAGTCGATACTATATACATAAGCCTAGACAGACAAACCAATACAATATATAGCTTATAGAATATGCAATGTCTTCGGCATTAGAGATTCATTCATCTTCATACAAAAGATACATTCATATATATATATAGGCATAGATATATATGTGCTAGATAGATGGTCTATTTACATGCCCAGCTTTGACTGTAGACCACCTGCCTACTATTTTAATAGGCTTTTTTCGCACACTTCTTTTAGTTGTGTTCATTAATTATCATTATATACATTTATATATAGGTATATATCCATGCATGAGAATCTATCCTCTGCATATATATTCAAATTGGTTTGTACTTTATTTTTGTGCAAAATGCGCCATTAAAATGTATAAATAGATTGTTGAAAAGCGCACAACGGCTGGGTCTGAGTCAACGTGCCTCGAACATTAACCTCATTAGAAGAGCGTAAAGCATTTTGTTTGAATTACGAGTTTGTATATTTGAATACTTCAAGCTTTCAAGTGGCCGACAAATTGACTATAAAGTGGGTGCGGCCGCCCAATAATTGAATTAAAAAACATTGAGATGACGCTGAATTAATTGAATCGACAGCTATTTAAATCTGATCACAATATTCCAACTGCCTGTGATGCACAACTTTTAGTTGTAAGTTAATTTATAGCACAAAAAATAATACCTCTATTCGTTTATACACTTTGGTACATAGATTGAAGTCAGGCATGTATCCACATAAAGAAATATAAATTTCAAACAATATATTTAACTAAAGTGAAAGTTTAGTATGTCTGTCTCTGTAATTCTAAAAAACTTGTCTGGGTTTTGATGATATTTCACATTAACTATTATTTTTGTTGCAGTCAATGATGTTACGTGATATAGTTTAGAGCTAAGCTAGTAATATTGGTATATATTAAGCTATCATATAAACAACGAGTCTTATGCTTTTTATAAAAAATTTCGATTAAAATCATCTTGTAGATCCTCCAGTCTGTCCAGATTAATAATCCCTAATTGCATCTGAAATGTAGAAAAATCGACTGGTCTGAAACTACCTTAAAATATATTCGCGTTTTCAAAAAATTTAAGCTAAAAACACATTAAAAACACAATTGAACCCAGAAAAAACCCAATAAAAAGTTCATTGCACTCGTCGTTGGCAAATATTTAAGCAAATCGCTTAAAAGAAAACTAAATACATGTCATGAATGGATATACAAACAGACACAAAGGCACTGAAAGAAATTTGCCATAAATCAGTGAGGAAATATTTTATGCGTTTCAAGTTGCGCGAATTATAAAAATCAATGCGCGTGTTTTGGACATGCAAATGGCCTGCTGTGTGTCGCATATATACATTATAAAAAAAAAAAAAATAGAAAAAAAGACGTCTTTCTAATTGTATTGAAGAAAAAAAATTGTTGCCAATAAAAAGCCGCAGCATGAGCCTTGACCATTGAAATGGACGCGTCGCGTCGCAAGTGTTTCAATGTTTTTTAATTTATTTTTATTTTTGCAATTAAATTTGTTTGGCATAAAAAACAGCGTTAAGGCGCAGCTGTATGCGTAGCCACATATATACCTATCTTAGATTCTTAGTTTAGTTTTGTGCGTCAGCGGAAATTTGGCTGCCGTTTAAATTTAGCGCAATTGAATCTTTTACTTAATTAGTCAAACAAACCGAAATGTATGCCAAAAAGGAAAGAAAAAACCTATAATGATCCGTTCTAACTGTAGTCGTCGTCACTATCCTCGTCGGGGGGTAGCCGGACTGACTGCCGGCTGGCGAGCGCTAAGGTTAAGCGTTCCACATCGATCGACAACGGCTTCCGCATGTCGAAGGCATCCTCCTCCGGATCGCCGGGATAGTACTCGAGTAGCACCCGCCGCAGGCAGTAGCCCAGGTTGCAATAGAGCTTGTAGGCAGCCTGGTTGCTGCAGCGCAAATATAGGTCCACATACCAGGCATTCCTTAGGTCCAATATGTGCCCAAAGTGGTTCATAAGCAGAGAGGCGACGCCTAAACGACGATAATCAGAGGACACAGTCAAGGCACAGACATGACCATGCAGCTGAGTGTGGTCCCTCAGCCCGTCCAAGCATTTGCCAAATATGAAGCCCGCCAACTGGCCATCGGGTGAAACTGCAGCCACCGCAAGATCGGGCCACTGGGCCAGATGACGCAGGAAGAAGCTGAGACGATAGACCTCCGTGAAAGGATCAAAAACCAACGCATTAAATTTAAAAAGATCGTCGAGATGCATCTCGCGTAGACAAGTCATGCTAAAATCGGGAAATTGAGCTAGAAGACAACAAATAGATTTTGATCATGTAGAGTGAGTGTTATTTAAAATCAGCTATGATTCACATGTATATACATTTAAACAAACTGACAAACTTATCATAAGGCTTTTAATATGGTATTCTTAAGCCTTACCAGAAACTTCATTATCAGTTTCACTAGCTGCTGACCAGCACTATAAAATCCGTCCACCATATTATCCTTCTCCTTCAGGCAAATACGCTCAACGTCCCGCGGCATTGGCAAGCGCATCTCATAGCCGCTATCATCGCCATAGAAATGAGGAAGCCAGCGATACTTTACATAGCCCAACAGCTGATAGAACCTTATAGCTCCTTGATTCTTGCTGCGCACATACAGACATACATACCAATCCCGCTGTCGATCCAGGCTGGCATGCAGGCGCTCCATCAAAAGGGAGCCCAGGCCCAAGCGTCGAAACTCAAGGTCAATGGACAGGACGCTGACGTGGCCATGGCTGCTAATCAGATCCAAGTTCTTTCCATCGCCAACTAATTCGGCCATAATGTTACGGGAACCCAAAATAAATCCCACCAACTGCTCGTTGGGGGCAACTGCAACTGTAGCCAGCATTGGAAATTCAAGTATCTTATCCATGAAGAATGAGATCGAGTAGACTTCGGTGAGGGGATCAAAAACAATTCTGTTAAACTTAAAGAGATCATCAAAAGTGAATTCGCGTAATGCAGTCATAATGCCATCGGTTTCTTTTTCTCAAAACGATAAAATTCAAAACGAATTGATGTTGTATACTACTTATATTTGTTTTACATAAACTAACCAATTTGTAGAGAGTTGGACGTTTAATTCAAGGAAAAACAAAACAGGATTTTTAAATCGAAATTAAGTCAAAGTTAGAATATAATAAACCGAACCTTCTACCGTATTAGTTGGATAAACAAGGGCAAAACCTAAGCCTGAAACAAAACATCAAATGAATTAGTAAGTAAACATTTTCTTTTGTTATTGGTTAATATATAGTTCATTTTTGGTTACTAAAAATGACTAAACACAATTAATATATATAAAATAACAAGTCGGGCGAATGAAGGTTCAAATTCAGTCTGGGTATGGATTCAATAAACGGATAGGTAACTTAGTTAGTTTTGTAGACTTGATTCAAATAGAGTTTGCATCTCAAGCTAAAAAGTGCAAGTATAAACTCAGCGAATTTATGCATCTTAATCAAATTTAAATGTTATTAACATTAATTCTTGAGTTGTTGCTCGTACACTTTTTCCGCGTGATGGGTGGAAAACAAAATATTTCCTTACAACTGATTTTTAACTGTCGGCTAAGTATCTCAAATTTAAATTAATAAATCAGCTCTCGAGTTATTTTAATTTATTAATAATCTTAGCAAGTGCAGCCTGCAAATGTAAGCAAATCATCTAATCGCTGTTCAATAAAAAGTTGACAGATGGGCAAAGGGACACTTTTTTGTCTAACTTTGTCTCTATTCATTTTACCATGCAGTCTTATTGGAAAAACTTTACTTCACAAAATTACCCACCTATTGTGGTTATTGGTAACGAAAAAGATGTTGCATACTTTGGGGCTGTTAATAAGTGAAATCTTAGCAAAAGCCAAAACCACTTTTAGTGCAATTTTTTGTTGTGTTTCAAAATCGCACTACAACTTCCCAAATGCCGCCAGCTGCAGTTCTCAGCCAGAAGTGCATTTATGCCTATTGATCCGTGTTATAGAAAATAATTTCTTAGTTGTTAATTTTCCCTTTTTTTTTTAACCCAATGGCAAATGGGAATATGCCCCTCATTAATACATTTCAATGATATAAAAGCCGCATTAATGAGAAGAGCAAATAAATATAATGCAAATTAAAGTTATCATTCCGAAAATGTATCTTGAGTTGCGTAAAGTTATCTGAGTATTCAAGATGCAACGCTCCAAATTTGGATTCCTTAATATACATCTACAGGTAATTCATAATACTTCCGGACTAAAAATGAACGTTTATCGATTTTGGCAAAATGAGTATTACAATAAATAATAAATTGTCTAAGCTGCGTACATGCGAGACAGAATACCAAACATCGGGAAACTGATAAAGGAGCATTCGTCTCGAAATTCCAAACTAGGGAATGGATGTAGAGATGTCTTAGCCAAAGTCCATAAAATGCTTAAAATGTTTCCTATGTCACTAATAATAATATTGTCACTAATAATATTCAAATATAATACCCATCCAGGTGCTAAATCTTAAAACATTTTAGAGGAAAAATGTATTTAAATATAGAATAAATGCAGTTTATAATGTTTATTACACTTGTCTCAATATCACGACTTAATCTATACAAAATACTACGTTCATTTGATGTTCTTGTAGATCCATGGCAGCAACGAGGTGACTCGTGTGTAGACTCCAGGATACTGTCCCTTGCCGCAGCCAATGCCCCACGAGACAATGCCCACCTGGGTGTAGCGACTGCCTTCATTGACGATCATCGGGCCACCAGAGTCGCCCTGTTAAAGATTGGCAAGATTAGCCTAATTAATCATAGAGGCATTAAAAAGACTTTGACTAACGCTGCACGAATCCTTGGCAGCCTGGCCAGCACAGATCATGGACTCAATGATGCCACCGGGCGCAGCACGTCCATATTTCTGTGCACACTCTGCATTCGCCCAGATTGGTATGTCCACCTTTTGTAGAATCGATGGCTGCGGTCCGTTCTCGCGCAGACTGCCCCAGCCGGCGACGGTGGCCACCTGCCCGCTGTAGGAGCGCGACTGTTGAGCCGGCGAGGTGGGCAGACAAATCGGCTGGATCTCGGTGCTGAACGGCACCGGCTCGCTCAACGTTAAAATAGCAATATCATTGTGCTAGCATAAAGAAATTATCACTGAGTGTTGCAGTCGGTAGCCCCAATATCACTTACCAGCGTGCTGAACTCGAAGCCCTTGTGCCGCACGAGGCGCTTGATGCGTCGTGAGACGTGCTGCACCTCGAAGTCCGTGCGTATATTGTAGTCGCCCAAATGGGCAGTCAGGGCGGCCACATCCCATGAGGTCATTCTAGAATTTGTAATACAACAATAATGTTCAATTGCAATTAGCCTGAATTTTGAGTAACTTACCTTGCGACGCAATGGGCTGCTGTGAGAATGTGATTGTTGGTGATCAAGCTGCCCCCACAAAACTGTTTTCCGGACTTAAAGAGAACCGCAATCCAAGGGAACTCATACGGACTGGCGTTATTGCCGCCCACAATGCGCTCCTGATCGGGTGAAACTGGGTTCCTGTGACCGCACTGCAGTGGCAGGCCCTCTGGACTAAATCCGCTGCTCGGCCGACGCGTTGTCGTGGATGGTGTCGTTGATGCCACCGGGTGGCTGGGACGTCTGGTGGTGGTTGGAGGTCTGCTCCCTGGACGTGGTGTGGTGCGCCGTGTGGTCAGCACCGAACTTGGCGTAGAGGGATAAGGTCGCGTGGTCGGATGTGTTGGATACTGATGACTCGGAGGATGAGTCGGTATCGGAGGTGGCCAGCCGCCAACGGTGGGCGGATGCGTCGGTATTGGTGGCGGCCACTGTGGCAGGCCTCCAGCAAATGTGCCAAAAGGCCATTGATACGGATAAATGGCGGTAGTGGGTGGTGTCGGCGACGGGGCTGGGGCTGGTTGCGCCGGTTGCGACTCGGGTGCATTGGCCTCAATGGTGTTCATATCCTGAAAGTCGGGCGTGTCCTCCACGCTGTTAACATTGTCTATAGGATCTGTATCATGCTCTGCATTATCAAGGGTCTGATCTGGCTGCCCATTTGCAGGCTCCTCCTCTCCTTCAGCCTCGTTAACCTCATCGGCAACTGTCAATGGTTTCTCCGTTGTTGTTGTTGTGGTCGTCTTTGATGTTGTTGTCGGTATCGATATCGGAAAGATTCCAAGCGTGTTTGTATCCATGTTCGAGCAACAGATGCCGTTATTAATGCGCCCCAGCTGATCATAAAAATTACATATATCGGATCCAAGCCCCAACGAGCCTGGCGGCTGCCATTGACGAACTGCTATGAAAGACAACTGCCGCCCAACGCGAAAATACTGCGGGCAACTGTTGATGCGAACGCATAGGCCAGGCTGGCCCCTTGCGGTCAGACACCTGGAGCCCTCCCAGGCTCCGCCGCCAGCCAGACCGGCCTGCAGTAAAAACAAGCTCGGATCAAATAAAAGTTGTCGCTGCGTCCGGGCATTGCTTGGCGATAAATACGCTATTAAATTCAATCAAAATTAGAAGAATTAATTATTTGTGGGCATTTTGTGTTTTAAGATAAATTTGATATTACAATTTTTCTAATTGAACGATATCTAAATATCTAGTTTGTTATCTGACAACAATTGGTTCAAAATCAAGCTTTTCAAGAATTTAATTTTTTTGTAAATATGTTACATAAATGCAAGGTATTTAATCTACGGCATCCAAAAAAACAGTTCAATTAGCAGTGTAAAATATATAAGTAAATTTCCAATTTAATAATTTTTTTTTTATTATTTCAATTAGTACCTTCTGATCTCTATCAAGCGAATGACTATAAGAAGAAAGTACAGTTACAAGTATGTAAATTATATGATATCATCATTGTGGGATATTTGCGTTGAAGGCCTCCTTCCCCTAATATAATAATACTATGAGGTATTTAGATGATGAGGGTGTAACCTTTGAAGGCTCTTCTCTCTGAACGGATCAGCCTCACCCTGGCGAGCCTCCTCTCTCTGATCGGATCAGCCCCACCCTAGCGAGCCTTTTTATCTATTGAATGATAATTTAAGGAATACCTCTACTTTTTGCATTAAATAACTTTTATTCATTATTATTCATATTTTATTTCGCGTAGCTTCTATTTTCCGTAATTTTGTGAAAAGTTTAAATTAAACGTTTTTCACATTTCGCACGCATAATTTTAACAACATTATTTATAATATATTTATAATAATATGCGGAAGAACTTACTCCCAAACAAATAGCCATTGACCTGGCAGTTGACAGCTGTCATAACAATTTAAAATCCATCAAAAGTGAATTGTGCCATTATCAAAAAACATAAAAATGTGTGCATGTATTGGGCCACATGAGTAACAGGTAGTTTGACTTTCTTTAGGTATATATTATGCAGCAGAATTCAAGTCCAATGAATCAGAGTCAAAAATGTGTGTGCCCACTAACATTTTTGTTGGGCTGCTTGGCTTCCTTCGTAATATGCAAATATCATTTACAAAATGCCTAATCAATATGCGTAGCACGTCTGCAACGTGGTCTCCATTACGCCTTGTCCACGACCAGGGCGAAACACGTGCATGTGAGCATTTCTGAATACACCTTCGAAACGTAGCCCATCGGACCAAATGCATTCTTAAGTATCCATTAGCACTACACTTTGCTAACGAACAAATATTTGCAAAGCTTGCAAAAAGAATTTAAACAACAACTGGCCAAGATTTTCCTAAAAAAGACTGCCAAATTAACTCAAATAACCTGTGAACCTGAGCTAACTGGCGCGCGTCCCTTAGCCCGTGCATCAGCATGAAGGCAGAAAAATAAGTGACTTTAAATTTCCTTAATATCGATCAAAATCCATTTTGGTTCTTTATTTTTAAGCATAACCCAATAAGTCAAATACTTTGGTTAGGAATATTTTATGATCTCCCCATCCCCACTCCCTCAAAATTAAAATAATAAAGAAACATAACAGTTGGATAAGTATGTGTTATTTTGTGCATCTATATATATATATATTTTATAGCTGGAATGTTGAGAAAGTGTTTATGGGTATCAAGTAGTCGAACACTACAGAAAAGATCACATTAACTGTTGATTTTAATTCAGGAGGGCAAAGTTGTTGGGCACTGTGACAAAGGCTTCATCAAGTTCATCTACCTAGATCTTTTAAAAAAAGCACATGATGTTTATTTCATTTAAAATAAACAAAACAAAGGCATTTTTAGTAAAACGCTATTTTAATTTATTTATTAGGACTGTCTTGACGTCATGCAATTAATAATATGTAGTTTAATAATGCTTGTCAGATAGATATTGTCTTAATTGCCTATGATTTGCATCGTGGTGTGTGTGATTCCCATTTTAGCTTTTAGTTAAGGGCTATAACACACAATGTGAGCTCATAAAACAATATACACACTGTCAAACGAAACTAAACGAGTCGTTTAGGCGTATGTTTTGGTGAGCACATAAATCAAGTCGAACTTTAATATGGGCCACACGCGAAATGCTAAATAATTTTAACAAATGGCAGATTTGTGTTAACTTGCAAGAACAACAAGAGCAGAGCAGAGCATGGACAAAGACAGCGAACAAAAGCAGCCTAGATCACTTTTTAAGAAGCTGCCAATGGGCGTGACACATACCCACATACATGCAGACATACATACACGCACATATGCCAGACATAAATATATGACAAGTGACAGTAGAAAGTTGCTTAGGGGGAGCGACACGACGGCTTACAATGAAATGTTGTCAATTGTGCGTTGAAAGGCGCACAACACAGAAACATAAAAAAAAAGCAAGGCATGAAAATAAAATGGCACAGCAATTGTCATTCAGCTTGAAAAGCGCTTAAGTTTATTGTCAATATTCTGGCTTTTGTTTTTGTCAAAATTTTCAACGCACAGAAATGTCAAAATATTGAGTAATCACGCTAAGCGTGGACCCCAGCTTCGAATTGGCTCGCAGCGTGAACGAATGCTAAGTAAATATTGGTTGGTCTTCTTTTCTTATTTTTTTTTTTTTTGTGGGCTTGGTGCTTTGTCAACAGCGCGACAGATTGGCTAAAAAATTGTGCCTAGCCGCATAGTTTTTTGCTTATTTGTTTAAGTAGTTGTTAAATCTTTCAAAAGGCTAATGAACTTTTAATCTGTGCCTAGCTCGTTGGCGTTTAACAGCTCGTAATCATATTTTACTACATATTACTTTGGAGATTTCCTTCAGATTTGAGTCAGAAACACCCCCTAGAGTTACAAGCTTATTAACTTGTGTGTCAAGCAGGTAGCACAAGGTACCTAAGATAACCAAAGATACGACTGCAATGGGCCAGCCCACAAGTTCAAGGTCTAGACCTAGCTGCCGTCCGCCAAGTCGTAAGCGTTGCCTGCACAAATTAAACTGGATTAATATGGGCACAGACTGATGTAAATCTTGAAATATGCTGCAGGACATGTAAGCAACGTGCTGGGCCACCTTTATTAAAATAATATTAATATGGATAGGCAAGCGTGTCCATATAACTTACATTAATTGCGATGTCTGGCAGCTAAGGCTAACAAATCGAAGCCCCTTGGGAGCTCAAAAAACTCAATTATGTGTAGAGTAGGCTAATTTGCGACCATTTTCTCTGCCGAAATCCATTAATAGGCTTAAGTTGTCGCGATGTTTTCAAAGCTAAACATAAGCAAAGATCACGCCTGTTCTACGCTATTGTCTAATTGTTGGCCATAAATAAAAGGCGACGAGAACTCATGTCGACAAGCCCACAATTCTGGACCGGTCGATTGCGTGGAAGTGCGCCAATTTGAGAGCTCTATAAAATACGCCTCAACTACGGCACATGCTGTCTATCTCGGAAGTGCGAATGTGTACAAAGCATAGAAAGTTGGCGTTTGCTCCAGAGAACTCAGCCACAAAGTGGAACAAAGGGGCCAAGCAGAGAGACGCACGCGGTAAAAAGCGATTCAGAAACATCGCATTCTCTTTATTTTCACTAGGCGACTTATAGATTTCTGAAGGTCACACAAGCAATTCGATTGCGTGCCAAGCATAAATTGATCGGCTAATATAGCGTAACGAAAAGTCGTTGAACTTTCGTGTGATGTTTTGCAGCATGTAATGTAAATATTGTTATAAATTGATTTGTTTTGCAACTAAGACAAAAACTTAGATACTCAAGCAGAAAATATGGTCACTTATTGATTAGCAACTTTTTTCTTTCAATTTAAATAAGAACTTTTTGGGGTTCTGTCTTATCGCACACACGCTAATTTTCAGATTCCGATTTTGACCGTCAGCTTTTCTATTTCTGCAGACTATGGAATGCTTTTATTCATCTTACATATTTATTTTTATGAGCAAAAGATATCAAATATTAAAGCGTAAAATTTTCTAATCAATTCCTGTTCTATAAATTTGGCCTAAGATATTAAAATATTGGCTTTTAAAATAATTGACACATAATTTAATTTATTTGCAAATAATTTGTTCTTAAATTTCTGCTCATGTAAACATTTGTAAAGTTCCGCTTTTTACAAATCTTCAAATTTGCTAGTTCGCTGCGTAAGTCTTTTGTTTTTCGCGAGTTTTGAATTCGAGTGTAAACTGTGAAGATCCTTTTCTTTCCCGCATTTATGTTCTCTGCAGCAAGCTTGTTGCCTAAGTCTTTGTTTCTTCCTTTACAAATTCAGTTTTTTTTAGGCATTGCTTAGCATCCAGTTTACTCACCATCCGCGGGAACATCAAAGGCTTGTTCTACTGTGACATTGGGCGCGGCCTGGGATTCCAGAGCCTTTGTTTTTAGAAGTGGATCCGATAATGTTGTTGTTAATGTTCTTATCGATGGCACATCCTCAGCTAATGTCGTTTTAAAATGCAACAAATGCACACAAAGTAATAAAATTCGCAAAAATGCAAACATTTTGCCCGCAAAATACTTTTTTTTTTTTGTATATATTTATTTTTACTATTTTGTTTTCGTTTAAACTCAGCGAGAATTGCAGACCATATATAAATGTTACAATATAGTATATAACCGCACTCCGAAACGCTTCTTGCTTTAGAATGCGACGCACGTTGCCCGATGGCATTCACCTGGGCGGGCAGACGGCTCAGAATATGTTCTCGCCTGGGTCTTGTCCCACAATCGATATCGTTTTGTCTGCGCGCGCTTATTAGAGACAGGACCGTTGGCTAGCAAGGTCCGCAAGCTTCTGAGCCAACTGACTTCGACAAAGTTTGGTTAACAGCTATGCCGCGGCCAGTCGACAGCAGCGCCAGCGCCAGCGCCAGCGGCAGCGATGACAGCGAAGTTGAAATCAGCGTAGACGTAGACGGAGACGCAGCCGAAACGTCAATTATTTTCGCACATTGATTTGCTTGTTTTGCGATACATGATAGGCAGAGTATTGGCCGCCTTTTGGTTACCTTTTTGCTTATCTCTAATGCACATGCAGTTTTCATTTGGAAACTTGTTATTTAAATGCTTGCTCTTGCTCCTGTTCCTTTGCCGCCTTGGCTCGCAGCCAGACATAAGCCAAACACGCGCGTTGCACCAAATCTAGACAAACTGGGACTTAGACCGGCACCCGATTACTGTGTCGGTGCATACTGTTAAAAGACCAACAAGATCTCCGCTTTCTAGCATTGTCATTATGATGCACTCGCAGAAAAGGCGCATCTTATTTGATCGAAGGTAATTAGAAAGATTATCGATTCTTAAATTTTTAATACAAAATTATTCTTAAATCATTTTCAACCTGATAACATGAGTAACTCACATTCTGAAGAAACCCAATTTCCAATCTGATGACTAAATGATATTAATAATTTTTTTTTTTGTTTGTTTTAAGTTCATTGATAGCCAGGGCCCAAATATTTACATATTTCAAAATCCATTTGCATATGCAAAATTATTTTATTGTCAATTATCAGAAGGAGGAAGACAAGGAAGACAAGTATAATAGATAAATATGCATACGCACAGTCATAAAAAATCCGAGTACACTTGGACTAAGCTTCTTATGAAAGACCATGCATAGTCTTATTATATGTATATGGATATATGGTATTGTGTTTAATAAAAATAAAATCTTTTTTAAGCAAAGTAATGTTTGTGTGTAAATAATTTTATTTAGCACTGTAATCGTACTAGTTTTAAAATTGTTCTTCAAAGTTTTTTCAGTGTAGCCTCAGAATTCAAAATGCCGTTTAAATTACTTGATATATATAAAGATAACTCGTAGCCAAAGTATAGCAGCATCTTTCTGCGCTAATAAATAAGGAAACGATTCAATAGAGAACATCAAAGCAAAATGCAAAATAATAATTTCAATTTTTTAAGGTTCCTTTAATTCAACATCTTCTTGAAAACTTGAATATCATAGACAGGCCTTCAGGTCCAAGTAAAGCATATTGTTTACTTAATTTCTCTTTGTCAAGCTACGGCACGCAGTCGTATTCTTTTTTAAGCAAATAAAGCAAAATGCAGCCTGCAGTAAAGAAAATATGCTCAGTTGCAGCAAACGCCGTGCAGGATTCAATTGGGAATGAAATAAATCAAGATCGAGTCAAAGCGTATTGTCACGAACTGCGACGGCGCTTCATATGTTAAAAATATCAAAAATGAAATCAATTGTTGTCGAGAATTGGCCAGTTCATTCTTAGCCCACTTGATTCCCTCGCCCACCTGAAATCCAATGTGAAGTTCTCGAGTGTCACGGTCATGGTGGCCCCAACCTTTTGGCGAGATGGCAAATGGGAAACAATTGGCCTGTATATATCAATATTGTGCCAACTAATTGTCTGTAATTGGACGCCAAGGGGCATTTGCCTGTTGATTGATCGCAAAGTGTTCTCGATTCGATTTGGAGTGTTGAATTTTCGAAAGTAATTCAATGAACCGAACAAGCATCAAGCTCAAAAGGCGGCTGGGGAAAAGCTTTGTCGCAGTCAAATTTGTAAATGCGTTAAATTTTGATTACAATTACAGTTCGATTAAGCTGGGCAATTTCCAATATCTCAATTTTTCAGGCCAAAAAACTGACAAATACGTGATTTTGCTCAAGCAACCATTTTTTAAGCATCATTTACTCAGGCTGGAAATAAAAGTAGCCATATTCGAGCCCTAGTATTTCTTTATTCTGATTGTTTATATCAAGAGCTACTGTTTTAACAATTGATCCCAATTTTTCAGAAGCCCAACTACCGTAAAGTGCGCTACATATTATCTCTACAGGTGCACCATATTTATTTCATTTGTATTGCATGCTTTTAGGATCCACCAAAAATGAATCCAATGCCCATCAAACATTCGGTCTGGTTAACATAAAATAGTTGAAAAGCCAATTGAAATGTTATCAATTATTCATTACAGTTTAATAATTTTGAAATGTTTGAACATCTGTAAATTTAAAGATGTTTTTTTTTCACATAAATAAATATGAATTTCGTTTTGTTCAAGTAACAATTCTTGCCGAAAATCGCTGACAATTGAATAAGCACAGTAATTATTTGGAAACAGCATTTTAAATAATTGATATTTCGTAAATAATAATTAAAAACTAATTAGCTACAAAATGCATACAATTTGAGCTTCGAGCACTTTACTGTACCAAGAATTTTTCTATAGGAACCGGGGCAAAGAACTCGTTGATGTGCTCAACCAAAATGGGCGCCCATTGCTCACGGGTGGCGGGAATACCGACGCGAGTAATCTCTGGCAAATTCTCATTGACCAGATTCAGGATCATAGCATCTGCAAGGAAAGCACACAGGTTTATAATTATGTGATTGTAATTGCGGCAGCTACTCACTTAGATTGCGGTCCGAAAAGATGCCATTGGCCAAGACCCGAGCACTGCCAACATTTACATTCGCATTCAGGCGATGCAAACTAAGGCGCTGGTTTCCACTGGGCAGCTGCTCAATGTGTCCATCGGTTAGAATTGTGGCCTTGACATCGTCTATTCATTGAATTGTTTAATTCCAAGGCTCGAATTACTTGCAGAGAAACTTACCAATGGTTATGTTAAATGGTCCCTTGGGAACCAAACGCAGACCGCCAAACTTAACGTCCGCCTTGAAGTATCCGCCAGCCTTCAACTGTGGCAGCTCCACGCCCAATTTGATGACAAAGCCGCTGTCCGTGAAATTGGATGCAACGTTGTGGACTTTTAGGCCGCTGATGCCGTAAATTTCCATGTTCTTTATAAGCAGTCCGCCTTGTATTCCGTCGTTCGAGTACCGAAAGATGCCTCTCTTGTAGAAATATGGATCAATGGAACCCAAGCCATATTCCGGCAGACCCTGATACCTCAATCTCGGCACAATCGAATCAAACATTCCCCGTATGCACTCATCCAGTTCCGACGAGCTGAGGCTGCAGGCAGCGAGGTCATCACTAGACGTGTGTGGTGCTGTTAGTAAGTAAGTAGCGAAAGTGATAGATATTAGTACATAGCTGTTATTGCTGGCCAAAAGCCAAAAGCCAGTCTGTTAAGTCATAGCCAAGCTAAGAGCGTGCTTATTAAGCTCAGCCAGGCATGCATCATTGCACATAGAGCCTTTCGATGCATGTGGCCATGCATGGCTTAGTTCACAGTTTGACATGCCTTGCACAGGTTTTTCTTCAGTTTTGACATTCAAATTGCGTCTGTTGTGGCTCTTCGTGCCTTGCGTGCCTTGTATCAGGGCGACAGGTGACAACGACGCGTCGCAGTCAAGGTCTCCGATCTGGGCCCCACACGTGGCGAGCCAATTGGAGTTTAATGATCCGTCGGTTGACATGAACGAATTATGGAATAAACTCTGCCTTAGCAATAGGTCTAGATCAGAAAGCTATCTACATCAATTCTGAAAATGACTTCAGCAGCAGAAAAATACAAGGTACGTATTTGTTTAATAAATATGTACCGAATCCAAACATAAACTTGAATGCTGCTACATCGAAAGAAATATCGCTAGAACTGGTTTTTTGCATTGGCGACTCACTAAAATCGGACATACAACATTTTTAAGCCATTTTTAACATTAAAAACAAAGTACTTTTGTATATTTTTTAGAACACAAGACAGCTGTAATAGGCTTTCTATATTACATACAACAAAATTGATCTTATTAAATTTGATATTTTATCTTCATTATAACCTTTTGCCACAAATGCTGATGACGCATTTAATTTCACTTTTTAATCTTTTCACATAAAAGAGGATTGTTATGTGTTTTTTTAAGTGACATTCCAGCCAATAAATCTTCTGAGCGGAAACGAAAAAAAAGGGTTGCAATTATCTTTAATATGCCATACAATTAAAGCAAAAAATTACCCGAGTAAGTATTTATAAAGTCGCAAATTGCGCTCGATGAAGAGACAAGATTTTGTTCACCTTCCATTTGTGGTTAACTACTCTTACGACGATTAAGCCTGTGATTTGACTAAGCAATTTGAAAGTCTGTAATTTTGCTGCCAAATTTTGAGTGCTTGCGTGTCTTGGGGCTTTGCGTTTTCGCTGCCTGCTGACAAGTTCAATGTCAAAGGGGAAAAAGAGCAAACAAAACTAGTTTCAACTAACAACTAACTAAAAATAAATACACATTTCTTCAAGCGTCAAGATTTCGGGGCGTCGCTAATGTTTTTAAGTTGCCCTTTTATTTCGTGACGGGTCTGAAGTGAAGTTCGTTGCCTAAGTCTTTCGTTTGCACAAGCCTCGGTGGAAATGTCGATCAATTTCAAGCGCCCTTTTGTTGCTGTAGTTGCTGTTAATGTTATCATTGCTCGACATTTTACGCAATTAAATATAAATTACAATTGCAACTATCAGCGCACAAGCTTAAAGGCCCAGCGACGTCGACGCCGCTTTTGCATTGATGTAGGTCAGTTTTTAGCTATGTGCTTTTGAGAAATGCGCGAGCCAGCAGCCGGTTTTTTGTTGTTCGACAGTTGTTGTTTCATTTTGCATTATAAGCCTCTTTGTTGTCGCTGCTGCTATTGACGCGAGCTATTTTCGCAAGAGCCCAAAAGCAAATATATCTGTATCAATTTATATTTTTTTTTTTTTGCTTTGCGGCTGATTTAATTAATGCAATTGGAGATTTATAATTTATTGTGGCTTTGCGCGGCTAGTTTGTTTTGCATAATCAATCAATTTATTTTTTGCAGTGTGAGCCTGAGAATTTGTGTTTGTACAAGCCACATAAGCACAGTTTGACAGTCACTGAATTACGGCATTCACTTTCAGTGCGGCTTTTGTTATTGCCTTGTTGCGGTTTTATAACTTTTACCACACACACGTAAAAAAAGAAGAAGCAAACTACAAATGAAAACGAAAATATATGTCAAGTTCAAGCAGCGCAGATTTTTTATGACTGTCTTGGGTGTTAAAAGTCAAGCAAATAAAAAGTTTTTTTTTTTTTTAATTTTTGGTAGGCAGACCCGCTTATTTCTACAGATATTTATTTTTCTACTGTTACGCATGGAAATATTTAACCTGAAATCTCATTTAAAGCACTCTTTGCGATTTGGGTTGCGTCGGGGTGTTGAAGGTTGTTGGCGTATTTACTACTGTATTGACAAACTCTTGAAGTCACACTGACGGCACACAACGCACCTATGCATGACTGAAATAAATAACCCCATTAATTAGTTAAATTATGCTGTAAGCTTTTAAGGACATTTCACGCTCACAACATAATTCTAGCCTTAGGTATGTGAAAGTAAGAATTGCCTTTTAAATGTCTTCAAGCGAGCTTTCATCTAAAAATTTTAAAATCTTGTTTACAAACATATTAACTTTCTAGGCAGCTAATGTGATAACAAATTACAATCTAACATATGACCTGAATGAGTTTTTTCTCAACATTTCCCGTAATAAATTCCACGAAAGCAATTACGCAACAGCCTTCAGCTTTTGCAGACGTCAGATTCAGATGTAACTGAATTAAAATTCATTTCAATTTCCAATTTTCGCTTTGGCAAATAAAAGACTTTGACAACAAACTTGTTTCACTGCCTCGATTTTTCATTTTGCTTTTCATTTAAATATCAAGTTCTTGCAGTCTTGTTGCATAAGCACAACCGCATAATACATGATTGTGAGCATATACATATATATATATATCTACCTGTATCCGTTTGTGAGCCTGGCGAGGAGGCGGCCACATATTCCGCCTCCTGTGGGTCGCTTGTGGCGGATGCTGACAGCGTGGCCGATGCGGCACTTCCGAGTGAGACTGCCGCGATGGTTAGTAAAATGTAAAACGCTTGCATCTCTCTTCTTTTCTTTACTTTTTTGTTTTTGAGTTACTGTTGTTGTCAATTTGGACAACGCTTTTCACAATTGGCAATCTTAACTAGTTTTAATTGAATTTTTGTTGTGCTTTGACGATTTTGTGGCTTGATTTAACACATGCACAAACACAAGCGGACAAGAGGGCAATTTTCGCTTGGCTTTTTTTTTTGCGTAATTTTAAAACCGGCTTCACTTTTATTTCTACATGAATTTTAACAGTTTGTTGTTGCTGTCGTTTTCTCGGTTAACTGCAATTGTTGCTGCAATTGCGCACACAAGCCCACAAAAACACACACTAACAGCACACAGACCTGCACACACACCTACACACTGCGCTAGCCAATTGCCAAAGACACACAATTCGCTGCTAAAAAACTTCAAAAATCAGCGAACAATTACGTTGGCGGCCCGCCGCTTGCAAATCTTCAAATGAGCGCTGCATAAAATTCACGTTTATTTATAGTTTTCAGCTCGGGTTTTTAAGTTTTTCCATGCGCGCGCTGCCGAAAAAAAAACACACACTCACACACAACAAAACATACCCAATTCGAAGGCTTTCGGTACAAGCTGGCTGAGCTTTCGAAGCTTTTGACTTGTTGAGTCGTTGAGTTGCTTTGAGAACTTGTGAGCCACCGTTTTAGCAGCACTGCACTTGGAATGCTCAGCATGAGTTGGCACAACTGAGAGCCGCACTTGAATGTTAAGTGTACTAAATCTGAATCACGTCTAGACATTAGTATAAGTCGACTCTCAATCATGACACATTAACATATAAATGTATTTATATAATTACAAGCCTCAATTCGCTAACCGAGTACATTTTATACTCAGAATAATTTACTGGCATATTTATTTTGGCTAGAAAAAAGTTGGTCTTGCTCATGATGACTGTCAAAATACTGTATTTTTATATAATTGAGTGTTTTTAGGCAATCCAATTACACGATATAATTAATAGTATTTTTAATAAATGTTCTAAAAGTACTTATGTATTTGGTCATCCCCGGCTAACATTAGACTTGACCAAATCAAGAAAATTAAGAACATTTTACGAGTCGGTTTAAGTCCCAACAGACAAAGATACCTAAATAAATAATAATTGTATGTATAATAAGTAATTTTATGCAGCGAATTAGACGTGTTTTCGTTTTAATAAATCATAATTAATTTTTAATTAATCTATAGATTATGCAGGGTATACCGAATTCTATCAGCACATTGAGCCAATATTCGACTGTAAATCAATCACTTGGGACAATGTCAATCAACAATCAAAAGATTGCACCCACAGATCTGTCAATCAAGCAACAATGCGGAAGCTGTCATCACATGCCCAATTACAATGCCAATCCCCGTACAGTTTGAGCTGCACTGCTCCGTTGGGCAAGCATTGCTCCTAATCGAGGCGTTGGTTTCGCCTTCGTCTGGGCATGTCATATGTAGGCCAGGTATAAATCTTTTGCGCCATTTACACTTGCGTGCCCAGCAAGAAATCCCATAAAGTTGAGTATTATATTTTTGAAGTTTTTAGGCGTTTGTCTCCAAGGTGATCGACGTGACGTCTGAAGGATTTCTGAAATGAATAACTTACAACCAGATTGTTGCACTTTAGGTGCTTCACTTCTGCACTTCCGAAACACTGTCTTTTAGCTGACAGTTCTGTGCTCAGATGCGTCATAGTATGTTTTGGCAAGAGAAAAACAAAAACACAAATCGAATGCCCAATAATTATTATGCTCGGCAAGTCGCCGAGTAGACGACAGTCGTGCGTGTGCCTTGCATGTCCATTCAGCAATTACAGTATATATATTTATTTACATAAGATCCATAGTATATCCACAAATATATTTCATATGCAAAGCACAGCGCGTTTGATCGGCGTTTATGAGCCATATGCACACAAACGTGTGCAGCACATACTTATAATACGCTGATTTATGGTATATAGTTAACGCCGCCGATCCGAGCGCACAAAAGTTCACCAACAGAACATCATCTCAGGCTTACACTTTGCTCAACTAAATTATAAACTACATTATTTATGTCAACTGTTTGCGCCCAGCAGATCAACCTTTGTCGTTTGCTTAAGTCCATAATCGCAGTACAACCACCAACTGGTCATAGAAGAAGGCCTCCATAAGAAGCCAGTGCTTCTTCAACTGTAACTGTAAGCAATTAAATTGCCGTCTCCTATGATTAACTTGAACATATATACATATAAATTATGGCCTGGCAACAAATGCGGCCAGGCACAGCAAAAAATTTCATTTAGACTCATTAGAGTGTTCCTCTCCACGGAAATCTTTAGTAAAAGGCGAAAGATTTATTCGACAACTGAAGAGAAACCAGAGTGAATTTTGAGCAGCAACCAACCCTCATCTACACTCCAAGCCAGCTTTAACTGTTTGGGAATTCGAACGCACAAGGTAACAATTAGAAACACCCTTAAGTAGGCAATGTAATTCTAAGATTATATTTTACCATATTTACCTGGTAATTCATTTTTAAGGCCTGTCAACTATGTTGCAGGTCATTTAGATGTATTTTTCCTAGGTTGTATAAAAATTTAGCCTTAGTAGATTTGAAGTTCTACTTGTATATAAACTTTTTGAAGTTCTTAGGTAAATATTACGAAAACCTTGCTTTAGAGTATCGAAAACTCTTGCTGGCACTCGTAGAATGGTTCTAACAGTGAAATCATCTTTGTTTTATAATTAAACCTTTATTTTAAGCAAAATTCTCTAAGATTACTTACGGCTCGACCTCGCAATTATTAATAATATTGAAACCAAGTAAGACGCACCATTCAAGATCTTTCGATTGCAGCGACGACAATTATCAAGAAATTTAAATAAACTTGAAGGCGTCTCTAAACGAACACAACGACTTTGTCGAATATTTATTATACAGCTCAACCAAGAACATATCTCATACGCTTAACAGATACTCTATATTCTTTTTTCATGTGTGCAGGATGGCACGACGCGAAATCAAAGAAATTTGCTAAAAACATGGGATGAACCAAACTACAATAATAACGTTTTTAAATGAATGTCTAAAAAATTAAATTAAATTAAAAATTAAATTAAATTAATTAAAAACAATTCAATGAAATAAAGCCAACATTAAAAACAATTATGTCTTCTATTTAGAAGAGATGTCGGTTGCCGATATATTGGGCGAGGGTATCAATGCGTCCATGTTGCCGTTGTTGCATTAAAAATAAGTTTAAATGCTTTCAATTAAGTAAGTAAGTACTACTAAGTGGTCACGATTGTTGCTGCATATAAATTCAATTCAACTCAAAATAGTTGTGACAGCTTCAACGTGCATTTCCATTTGCCAGTTGCTCTCAAACTGCGAGTTACTGAAGTCACAGCAAATCATCTTGCTCAATTTCACTTTAATGCACAGACTTTCAAATTTAAATATATAGATAGATACTCGTTTCAGGGTCAACCTGTCGTGCACTTAACCCCATTAGCTAGGTGCACTCTGGGAAGGGGCCGTTACGAAAAGTTAGTGCGTTTTTTTTCAAATTTAGGCACATAATTTGATGCTTAAACTGGGGCATGACCAAAAAAAAATGAAAAATAAATAAACCAGTTTCAATCTCACTTTAGAAACGACAATTTAATTGCAAGTGCGAATATTACTAAAGGTTACCTGAATTTTTTAAGATATATGAATAATAATAATAAAATAGTTACTAAAGGCAATCACAACAATGTATATACATGCAATTATTTTACAGTTTGAAACTAATGCCATATTATTCGGGCCCGTGGATAAACTGGTCGATGGGCACATGCGTCAGAGCCTCGTTAATCAGGCGCAGCATGATGGGAGCCCACGACTCTCGCGTTTCCGGCAATATAATGCCATAGATATCGCGCCAGTAGCTGTTGGCCACGTTTAAGGCAAGCTCGTCTGTCAAGGAGCCCAGTTAGAAATCGTATTTAGTTAAGAGGCAGCCAGCACACATACCTAATTCGGGATCCGGGAAAATGCCATTGGCCTTAATGATCATGTCGCGAATCTTTGGATTCACATCGATATCTTTGATACGCAAAAATCGGCGTCTATCCTTGTTATAGAACTCGCCATCCGTAACCACACGGTTCTCAACGTCAACTGCAAGCATGGACATATCGAAAACCAACGCGTATATCAATATATATATATGAACCAATAAGTAATATACACTCTCTACCCACACAGTGTTACATTGAAGTTGCCCTTGGGCTTCAGCTGCAGCGAGTTGACCAGCATTTCCGCTTTGTAATTGCCAAGGAGATTCATCTTGGGCAATTGCGAGACAATTCGCAGCTTGACCTGGTCTCCATCGAGTTTGACATTAACTTTCTGGATTTTGTGCTCCGCAAAGCCATAAAGCTTAACATTTCGCACCGAAATGCGACCACTAACCGCTCCACTTGAATACTGGAAGCTCAGGCGATCTATTACGAAAGGATCGTACGGTTGAATGCCTAGTTCGGGATCTCCTTTCCGCAAGCGTGGTATCAGTTCATTCATTATATTCTTGATGCACTCCCCAGCCTGGTCGGCATCCGCGGGACATTTTGGCAAATCGTCGCCTAGCAAACGCAAAATAAACTACATTTAACCCTGCGTATACGCAATCTGATTCAAATCCATACATACCATTTAGATACTTTGTTTCCGCGGGCGCTGCATATGCTCCGCCGGCCAAAAGGCAAATCGTTGCCAACGCAATGTACTGCATTCTAACGCGGCTGATTAATCTTGTCCTGGCGATTATATTTTCCTTTGAATTGTGCAGGTGTGCGAACGCCAACCTGCTGTTAGAATGATCGACCTCAAACTGAATCGAACGGGTGCTGGCTGGTGCTATTTTATTCTCAGAAATAGCGCAAAAAAATTACAAGCACAGGCACGACTATAATTTAAAGTTAGTCGATTCCACTAAGCTAGGAAAATTGTACTTATAAATCAGTTGCGTTAACGGCATTTAGACTTCGACTGATTGAAAACCGGCTTAGCGACTGATTTATAATGCCGAATCATTAAATGGAAAACGATGCCAACAGACGACAGTTGCAAGTTTCAATCCCGCATACTATCACTAGTTGTTGAATTTTGAATGACAATGATTTGCATTAATAATTTAAATAATTGCCTGCTGACAATGGCTTATGCGTTTGCGGTCAACTAATTATACCCTGTAACTACTTAAAGTCATTGTAAAGTAGTGTCAACATTGCTTCTAAAATGTGTGAAGGGGGCTCTATAACAGTTTATAAATGTTAAATGAATGATCATCTAAGATTATATCTATGAACCAGACATCGCAAGCTGTCTGTGCGTCTTTAATATCAATTGGTGTTAATATTTATGAGGTAAGACTCTTGAAGGGGTATATTTTAATCGGGAATCTTCAAGTTGAAAGACTTGTTATTAGTTTTAAGCTAATATTTAACTATAAAGAACTTGTGCTACGAAAGCTTAAGAATTACTTAAATTTAATTTGTTCGAGTCTAACAATAATATTTTTCAAGTTCATTAGACATAGTTTCAATAACCCCAGAAAATAAAACCTGCCTCAGTTGATTAAAGTGCTTACAAACTAAAAGATTGAGGATTGCAGATAACTAACATTGAGGTTTGGATGTTTGAATCTCAATCTGAGTTTGAACATAAATAATATTTTATGCAATTTTGACAATAAATAATAATATTGAAAATAAACCAATGTGTAAGCATAACAAATAATCACCAATCCTTTAATAAATATAAAACTTAAGCAACAAAAGAAGCAATTCAAATTTTTTAAAAAAATATGACTCCCATGCCAAGACTTACAAAGCGCATTAATTATTAGAATATTATAATAAAGTTGGAAAAGTTTTCCATAGCCAAAGAAAATCATGAAAGCACGAGACAGCGCAACTGTATTAAAACAGTTAACATATATTATATATACGACAGTCAGAAATTATCTATTATAATTGCTAAAGAATTTAATTATTTCATTATTTCCAATTACATTTGGCGGGAAGCAGCTTAATATATTTTTTCTGAGAATTAATTTAAGCTTCTTTAATCATTTTATTTGAATACAAACTAAATAAACACCATGAAGAAAGCATATAACCATAATTCGAAAGGAAGCCGACTCTAATCTTTGCCGGCCACAAGCCTAATCCTTAGTGACAATCAAGTCGAAGGGTAGGGCAGCAAAGAAGTCATTGCCCACTTTGAGCAGTATGGGCTCCCAAATGGCCATTGTTTCCGGTAGCATAGCCTGATATAGCTGTTGCCAGTATTGGTTGATGAAATCCAGTATGACATCATCTGTAAATTGAATGGAATTGTTCGGATTGCATTTGAGAAGAATATGGTTTTTTCGCACTCACTCAGCGCCGGGTCGGGCACCAGGCCATTGGCATAGATGCGCATGTCACCCACTTTGGGCTCAGTCTCGAGCTTAGTCAGACGCAGATAGGTGTGACCGTCGCGCTCGTATAGTTCGCCCAAGGCGCGGGTTTTCATGCTGACGTCGGCTAAAATTTCAAATATGAGCAGTTGACACAGTAATTACACATGTTTGTGTGTATTCAGGTATTATGACCTAAACTTACTCAGCGTAATATTGAAGGTGCCCTTTGGAGTGATCTTCATGTCGTTCAGTTTAATGTCCGCCTTGTAGGCGCCCTCTGCCAACAGTTGAGGCACATGGCTTAGCATATCCATGCGTACGCGATTGGTCTTTTGCCGGTAGTCCACCTTGTCGACAATACCCTCGCTCAGGCCATGAACTAGCACATTCCTCATGGCAATGCGGCCCTGCAGTATGCCCGAGTTGTAATTGTAGGAGCTTTTGCCCAGCAGAAAGGGATCCATCGGCGGTATGTTCAGATCGCTGATGCCGTTTTTCAGGCGAGGCGTCAGCTGCTGAAAGCCCTGCCTGATGCACTCATTAATGTCGCTGTCTTTCTGGCGGCAGGTCGGTATATCGTCGGCTGTTCAAATTTAAAATATTTAGTTAATCAACAAGTTCGTATGATACAAAATAGAAATCATGAGCATCGCCTTGACACACATATACACGCATCTCGTATCGGCTATGATCTATGCGCTTTATGCTCAGAACGTGACATTCTAGTCGAGAATTCCGCTTTTGTTAATCGATGTCGCACATAATTGCGAGTCTCCCCTGCCTGCCCCAGACGAGTCCCAGGCCCAGACCTCAGGCACAATCGCTGAGGCGGCACGAGCAATTTAATTGTTGATGTTTAGATTTTTATTTAATTACTTAAACATTTTGTGTGACAAAAATGCCAACATTCAATTGCAAACGTTTTGCCTGAGCATTAACTAAGCACTTCATAATATGGCGCATATCGCATTTGTCGCAACAAGTTTGTCGCTTAAATCTTTTGTACTGAAGGCTTTTTGCAACGGTCGCTGCGGCAGGGGAAGGCCACTTAGCGGAAGTGGCAATTGACTGCGACCTGTTCCAAACGCTATAAATAAAACGACCAAAAGCTTCTGATCTTTATATTTTCAGCAAATGCGAGTCAAGGCTTAAAAGTATTCTGTTTCAGCTTTGTTCAAATCTATTTTGTTGCCGTGAAGGTCTGGATAAACTCACTGTCAGAACCTGTACTGTAAAGCTGACTACTTAATAATAGTTTAATTAAGATCAAAAAATGTAGTACTACACATAATAAGTAGTATTATTTAATACAAGATTCATTTACAATTTTCTTCCGTCTCTTTAAAATTGCCTACTTTATAGAACACATATCAAGAATACTTGGCATTAATAAATCTTTGCTTACTTAACTACTAATCTTGTTGATGTCTTTTTAAGTATTCTTGGAGCAACAACATTTTTGGATTTAATGGAGGTAAAGAATTACGAGCTTATGAGTTACAAACTCACAATGATTTGCTTTAAAAATCGTGCCATTAATATTTTGACGGCATCGGGCGCCACATATCTAAGCATGTATATATCCAACAGTTTTGAGTTTAAAGCTTGCACTTAACCTTCTCATATTGCAATGTTCCACTAATCTTTACATTGTAAATTGATCTATAGAAAACTATTTATCCAAATGTTATAAACGAAAATATTTTTTTCGGCTTTCAGATGCTTGTTTAAAGACTAAAGTTTACGGAAAACATTGATTCCAACTTTGGGTTCTTAATTGAATGGACTTTAAGCTCAATTTTGGATATCTATGTCAAATAAACTTTAAGACCGGAAAATGCCGGGAAATACATGCTAGTTATACAATAGGCTATAGATATAATTATATTATCTCAATATGTATTTTTTTCTGCTTTCTGCTTATAGACTTCTTTATTCACATATTGAATACTAATTATATTATTATTTTAAAATCACATTTCATATTTGGCCCATACCCTACCTTTTTAGGCAACATCATTCATTAACATATTGAAAAAAATGCCAATTGCCAATTATTATCGTTAAGGAATCTATTTAAAATAATTTGTATATTAAAAAAAAAAAAAACTATTTAAAATTATTTTCCATACAATTTCCCAATTTAATAAAATATTTTATAAATCTGCCAACTGTTGCTAAATTTTCAGTAGAAAATTGGCTCCAGTGCACGTGAATTCGATAGCAAAAAAATTACTTTGTTATAAAATTCGCACAACTTAGCGTGCTTGACACGATTGTTGCTATATGATGGCATATTATTGCAATTACTGATATTTATCTGCTAATATAACAATTTCATTGTTGTCTCTACGTACATACTTTCTTTGCTCAAAAACAACGAAGGCGGCGCAGGGTATACAAGTCGATATGAACAATGCCTATTTTTAGGGCTTTTGCACCTTTTTTGTAGACATGGCAATTAAAAAGTTTTTAAATTGTCAACACGATGCAAATAGTTATACAGAAGCTGGCAGAAAGCTACTTATAAAATAATATCCAGTCATTGATCAAAAGTCGCCATCACATGCTTAAATATGCGTTTTAAAATTGAGTTTACTTTACATGGTATATTTAAGAAACATAATAACAAAAGACTTAAGGCACGAACTTCTTTCGCTCCTTGGGTCAGCAACATTTAATGGCTAAGAGGCTTCAATTTGTTAAACTTCCTTAGAATACTCACCCAATTTTGTGATGGGCTTGAACTCAATAGATGGCACCACGAAGCCTTCGTCAGCAGCTAAGCTCAGGCCCAGGAACGTGACCAAAATAATAGCACTTAATACACTTGCCATTTCGAAAATAAAATAATTCAGTTTTACTTCGAACACTCAGAATTTCACTTTCGTTTGGGGATGGATTTAAATTTAAGTGGTCGGTATCAGCAACGACACCCCCGGCTCATGCAAATGCGAATTGGCATCTGAAACCTGCGACCGGCAACTGGCTGGTATTTATGGCGAAAATAGAGAGTAAACGCAACGCTAGAGTCCAACGCGCCAGCATTTGCAAATAATAGGCTCCACAGACGGGAACTCAGCAGAGTGGGGTTGGGATGAAGGGGGTGGGGGCTGCCAGTGAAACGAAAATAGCTTGAAAATAATGACGACGACGTTGAGAAAAGTAAAGCCAAAACAAAATCAGTAGCAAAATACAAACGACATTATTAAATACCCTAGACAAAAGTCGTGAAGTCGGATCATTCCCCATCTGGTCGTGCTCAGCCAGAGCTCACTCAACTACCGGCAGCTGTCCGATTTCGATGCGCTCCAAGCCGTTTGATGCTTCCTCGTAGCGCTGATTATTGGCTGTGCTGCTGTGAATCTGCTGGCCAGGTTGACTTTTAAGAGCTACCCAGGCGTAAAGTAGCCCGTTGCCTGCATCATCCCGAAGCAAACCTAACACAGACATGTATTAGTAAGTAGATATTGTAACAATCAGCTCTTGACTCTCGCCTTTTAATTCAATCCAACGAACATATGTATATGTGTATGTTGACCGACATGTTCTCAATCCCTGTGAAAAATTAAAGCTCATGTCGAAATTACACCAGTCACTCACTGAACACATCAAATAATTGCAGTTTACACTATAGAACATGACATATGCTTCCATTACTGTCAGCATTCAGCTTATTCAGATTGAGAAAAATCTGTACCTGGGGCTAATGGGCATATCGATTGAGTTTTTATTTAAAGCAAGCGCCTGTTAAACTTAACGTTTCAGGACAGTTCCCATTAGAGAACGTAATTGATAACAACTTAATGCTCTTAATGCTCTTAGTATTTTAATTGTATTTAAATCTTTAAGAACTTTCACTGGTTCAGGTATTTTGTATAACCTGTACTATCTGAAAGCAATGTGAGAGTATAATGAAGTTGTGCAAGTATATTCAAGACGCACTCCGGGCCCATTGAGTTCGGGTTGAGTACGGCTACTTGATCAGAGTCAAAAACTGTGCTAATCTAGCCATTTCTAGTTGAATACCCTAGTCAAATTAAAGGCAATTATTTTTTGATAACTCCGGCCGCTTCTGCTTACTCAATCGCTAAGCTTAGTTAGCTTAAGTTTAGCTCTCATACAATAGTAGAATATACAGCCCGTTGTGCTCAGACCATCTTTGAGCTCATACATTGTTACTGAAAGATAGAACGAGCACCCAAAACTATTATTTCGACTTATTTTATTAAGGTTAACTTATTCATCGAGGAATAAGAATTGTCTATGTATATAAGTATTTACTTACCCAAATATTAATTTTGCATCTTTGATGCAATTATTATCTTGATGCCATCTGTTAGCAGGAGGGAGAAGCTGCTTGAAAGCCTATAGTTATTTCATGAATTATTGAAATAGCATAATAGAAAAAGGGTTTGAAAGAGGAAAGCATATATTCAAAGAAGGGAACAAGCTGTGTCTGCGCTTGGTAGAAGATATATGTATATGTATGTCATGACGGTTATTGCCCGGCCAAGTTTTCATTATTACCAGCTACAGGGTATCTCCATCTCGCGCACCAGAGAACTCTGATAATTGTAACACAAAAAAAATACATATTCATAGTAATATATGGCATATTTAATTATTTCTAAAAGTTCACAAATCATTTGTATAGTGCGGACAGTGGACAAACTATTGCAAATAATTTGCCTCATTTGCCTTATTAAATGACTCTGCAGGTTATCAGCACTAAAATTAGCTTGTTTGAAATAAGTGTATTCAAATAAACGACAACAAATTAGCCAGTCATGCTTAAGATTAGGTATATTTCTCATAACTCTTTGGTAAGTAATTAAGTACTCAAGTACTTTCCGCGCACGTACTCCTACTTATCTAATGTAAGATACATCCCATTAGCTAAATTTAGAGCCGAATAACAATAATATTCCCAGAAATGCACTCAATTCAAATAACTTGTGGTACTTCCCAATCTTAGCTTGCAGTCTCTAAAAATGTATTATTCAACAAGTGTAAATATTATATTTAATCCTCTTAGCTTTTTTATTCCAATGTAAACTCAATCAAGCCCTCCTATGAGCAGAAAGTGTGATTCGGAATTTTTAAAAACTTTAAATAATTAAATACAAAATGAGAGTTTCGTTTAATAGCTCAGTTTTTATTCTAGACATACAAATAAGTATGCCAAATATCACTCTGCGCCTATCAAAACTTATCTCTGTCCCAAGACGGAATCCAGTTTTTTAGCCCAATGAACCGGCCTCTGCACCATTCACTTATCTATACTTAGCTTAGTTCTAATAATCTGGGTACCTAAGGTCTTAAGCAAAACCCAGCCCGACTTATCAGCTGGCGTAATGAATGCTAGTGCCAGTTTGTGCCTTTTGCAATCCGATCAAAAGTCAGTGCGAGACAAGAGCACAGCTCACTGCACGCCGCATCTTATCACACTCAACAGCATGATGCACCAGGAATGCCAATTCCAAGAAGCAATACTCAAAAAAAAAAAGAAAAAAAGAAAGACAAGTAGGATGAACAACAATAACTTATCAATAGTTCGGCACACAAACATAATTTACCCAGACAAATGAGCCGCAAATGCTGTGGGTAAAACCAAAAATTGAACAATTCGAATCGAGTTTTAAAGAAAACACATGGCACAGCCCGACTATTGACAAAAACTGCGACAATGCCAAAGACAATGGCAAACAGTCTAAGAAAATAGAAAAATAGAAAAATTATCTGGCTGCGGAACAAACGCAAATTGAATGAAACCCAAACAAAGGCGCGCATTTTGCCACCTAGGGAGCTGGGCAAATACTCAAATCTCAAATCTCGACTCGAATTCTATGCCCAAAGCCAGCTCATTAACTGGGCCTGGTCACACTCAAGCACGCAAGAACAAACATGCATGCTGCACAAAAGGCTTATCAGCGGGCGGCGCTGAGCTCAACCTAGGTAAGCGGCGCATGCGCGAAGCGGTGCCAGGACGGGGCTCGGACGTGCGCAGGCCATCAGCTGATTTTATGGTTTTGTTTTCCTTTTGCAAAAATAAATTTCCTTTTCGATTTGTGTAAACAACATCATAAACGACTGCGGATTACGGCAGCCCTATGATAAGAGACGCGAATGCAGCAATCTCTTTCTCTATCTATATAAGCTCGGCCCGCTTCGAAGCAGGACAACAGTCAGCTAAACGAAGACAACCGAAACGCATCACTTGACAGCTAGAGAATGGCTCTGATAATGCAAAGCAACAGTCCGCAAAGCTATCGTCACAAGAAGTTCGACCTGAGGCGTCCGCGCTGCGACGAGCTGGGGCTGCAGATCAAGGAGGAGCTGCTCGCACGCCTAGCCACACCTGGCAGCAGCTGTGGCCATGGCTACAACAGTGGGCTGGATGGTGAGGACAGCAGGAGCAGCCAGTGCTCCAGCGAGTACAGCGATCTGCTTCTGTCGCTGCCCAAGCGGCGACGTCTCAATAGCACCATATGCGATGGCTCTAATGGCTCGGAGTCTGCATCTTCCTCGCAATCCCTGCCGCCCGCCATCAGTCCGGAGGCGCTGAGAGACATTTGTAAATACCATGGAAATATGGTGCGAAAATTTCCCAAGAAAGAACGTACGCCCAAGGATCAGGATAGACGCAATAAGAACACAATTGCCTGCCGTATGAGCCGACGTGTTAAGAAGCTCGAACTCCTGGCCATCGAGGAGCAGTACAAGGAGTTCACCGCGCAGCATCTCAAGATTGTGGAGCAGAGCATGCGAGCCAACGCCTATTTCAATCATCTCAATCAGCTCGTCAAGCACGATCAGCCCAAGAGTGCACCCCTGTCGCCAGCTCCAGTGCCGGCCAAGAACTTCAGTATTGACTATTTGATCAACGGCATTAAGAGCGAACAGTGTTAGTAAATACTCGTTTAATCACGGTGTGGTTTAAAATTCTATGAGCGTTAAGGCCTAAACTTTAGCTTTATTAGTTATTAATTTATTGATAAGCCTAATGTTATATTTGAAATATATATATTATTAATTATATTCTCTAAGAACTAAACAGCAAATGTTTTACATTACGCTCGAATTAATAAACCTGATATTATAAGTATCTCTTTATATACAACTGTGCGTCCTGACTGACTGAATTTTCACTGTAGTTACCTTGGGTCTTATGAGTTTCCACCCACAAGTGCGGAAAAATCGTGAATGACATTTGTATGAAACTTTTTACTCTCCTTCAGATCGGCTTCAAACTCTTTTTCAAAGAACCCAAGAACTCGCGTTATCCTCCGCTCTTGGGTAAAATACGCCGACCAATACACTTAATATTATTTTTCGGTCTTAAGTTTCTCACCACAATGTTTATTCGATGGAGCTAAACATATTTAATGAAGTCCAAGATAATATGGGCAAAACTAAATTTTCCTTGGGCAAGTTAGGTAATTAAATGCATATGTAAATTTGTTAGCACAAAACTTGCAAGCGGCAAGGCCTTATATTAAATAATATTAAAATATACCTTTTCTTGAATAGAGACTGGTGGACTTTACGAACGCTGTGCTCTCCAGTATAATACTGAGAGCAAATTTATTTATCTTATGGCATCTCTCTCCGATTCCATATTATGGATAAATATTTTTCTGAAAAAAGGTTTTATACGCATGCTACGAAGAATTTAAGAGCTGGTAACATAAAATTTAAATATATATTAAATAAAATTTAAATATATATTTATTCAATTCAGACTCGCTACGATTTTTGAGAAACTTTTTTGAAAGTAAAGATCATTAGTTTCTACAAATTCTGCCTTTTTGAAAACTCAAAATTGACATAGACCAAAACTGTATACCCTTTAAAAGTTGATGAAACGCTGAATTTTGCATTAGTTAAATATATTATAATTTGTATTATTGTTATAAATATGTCATGAAACTGATTAATAAAACTGTTGAACCCATAAGGCCAGCCCTTACTGTCTTCGTTCCTTTCACAATATCAAGCCAAGCAGAAAATCAATGGTCCGCAGATGTGCACTTTGTTTATAAGGAAGTTCCTATGATAAAAGCTCAACATCGAGCAAAACTGGCTCAAAATGCAGTCAACTGTGCCGCGTGCAACAGCAGGAAAGCCAACAAAAACAACAAAAACAACTGCACATAAGTTGGTTAATTAAACTTGAGTATTCATGTTGAGTAGTTGGACCGTCTCCTCCCCAGCTGGTAATTAACTCTGGCTTTTTTTTTTTTTCATTGCGCAATGCTTGAGCAGCTAATTAGTTTTAATTTTCATTGTAGGCCATTTGATAACGTTCCAAAGCGACTTCCTATGCAGCTGGAAAATCCCATAGACAAATTTCCGTCGACAAAGTCAGAGGCAACCCACTTTACCACCACTTGGCACTTGTGCGGCGTTTATATACACAAACACTTGTGTGTCTCTTTATATGAACATGAGTTAAATGCAAACTATTTTCTTTGTAAATGTTGTTGTTGTTGTTGTTGTTGTGGCTCTCTCGTTGCTTAACATTGAAAACTGCATTCGATTTTCACACCAGCTACAGAGACTTCAACGTATACCAAAGTTTGTGGTTGCAACACTTTGGCGCACGAGCTGCTGAACTTGAGCTTTTCGCACTTTGAGCCAATTGCAGTCGCTGGCCCCCTCCCCTAACCTGCCTCTTGCCAATAATAATATTTGACGGTGTTTCGCAATTTCTTTGCAGCTCGTTATGCGATGCAGTCTTTGCCGCTTGGCTCAACCTTGAGTAATGAGAACATTGGATGTATGAGTAAGTCCAGAGATACACAATCAAGGAAAATCTCTATTTAAAGTTCATTTAGAAAAAGTTAATCAATTTGATTAGTCCAAAAAATCAATGCAAAATATTGCATGTGCATGCATACTATTCGAGTATGTACATACATATGTAAGTTTGCATGTTTAAGCAAGTTTACGTGCCGCTAAGCTGCTAGTTAAATATTGCCCTATTGTGCGATTTTCATGAATTTAATGTTTTCATGCCTGTCAATAGTTATTCTGATTCTTTTAGCATTATGTATATAGAATAGCCTGTCTGTCGGCACCTCTGTGTAATGCATTTGCATATATATTGAAATGGGGCCATAAATATATGCATTTAGCTTTATTAACCAACCAAAAATAAATAAATGCATGCATATCTCCTATAACTTATATATGATCTCTGTATCTCTTATAACTTAGTAGGTCATATAGCATATCCATATTAAATAAGCAATCCATTTCTTATCTCTCACAGTTTCCGTGTTCATGTGAAAGTGCTCTACCCATTTTCCCTACAAAACAATTTTATGTCAACATTGTTTAGTCAAGATATCTTGAATAACAAAAACATTCTTGATAAAAAAAACTTAATTTAGAGGGTTTGCTTTCTATTTATACGGATCAAGATAATTTGATGGTCATATGAGAAAACTCTTGACCTATTTTTCATTCGATTGAACTGAGGCAGCATATTGCAGTTTTCAGTAATAGCCCCCGAATTGCTTTGAGGCATTGCAATGTCGAAATTTACAGAGAAGTCGATGAAATTAAAAAAACTGAGCTTTGTAAAATTAATGTTTTGTTCATCATCAGAATTTAAAATACTTGCAATTTTTAAATAAACACAATGGTTAAATTTGAGGCATTATGGGTTTTTAGAACAGGAGATTGGTAATTTTTCTCTTCACTAATTGCAGGACTTGGCTTGACAAAGACAATTTTTATACTTTCAACCCATTATAAATTGATAAATTGAAAAGCATACAAAAGACATTTTCGATTGATTGTAAGGCTCCTAAATGCAAAGTTATACCTCGCATACAAACATTCCTAGTTTGTGGTCAAATTTTAATCCACTTTGAAAGTTAATAGAATTGAACATAAAGAAATCGTCTTTACAAACTAGTTTTTTTATTTTACTTTGAAAGTCAACAAAAAATAAATTAAGGCTTAAGCAACTAAATCACAATCAATGGCTATATAGGGTATTATGTACACGAATATATGTCACGAGTTGGCCTCACTGCTGGGACCCAAAGATCAGTAGTTGCTGCGAAAGCGCCATTTGCTGTAGGAACTGCTGCTGCTGCTGGGGCAGCTGAAGGCCAGCCGCAGTAACTCCCCGCTGGAAGATGGCCTGCTGTAGCAGCTGGCGATAGTAGAGACTGAAGCGGACCTGTTGCTCCATTATGGCTGCTTGTTGGGCCCGATATTGTTCGTATTGCTGTGCCAGGTGCGCATCCTGCGCCTGCTTGGCCCGCCGGCTCAGAAGACACGCCAAGGTATTGCGATCCCGACGACGCTGCTCCTTGGAGCTGCGTTGGTGCGGTGTCTGACAGCGACGCACCATGTTGGCGTGATAGGTACTAGCAGTAGTTGGAGCAGCACCGGACAGCTTCTGGTTGGAGGCGTCGCATGTTTTATTACTGAAGGCTTCGATGTTCTGTTCGTTGTCCAGCCAAGGGCGGAAGAAACCCTTCATCTGGCGCCGTTTGCAAGGCGGCGTATCTAGCGTCATGTTCTCCTTGTTCTGATCCAGAATCTGGTCCACATCCCGCTTGCGCTTGTGTGCCGCAAACTTCTTATGCACATAACTGGACGAATTGATGACTGTTGTTTCCATATTTTTTGTGTGCTGCATGTCTTGTGCGTTGTGTTGTTTATGCTTTGACGTTTTGTGTCTGAATGCTCCTGTTGTCCGCTTGATATCCTGTTTATATGCGCAGGATGGCAGCGCTAATCCAGGCCCCGCGCGCACAGGTAGCGGGCCCTTTTATTTTTGGAAACGCGCTGGACACGTAAACAGACGGATTAACGCATCTTTATTACCTAACTAATCGTTGTTTGTCCGAGCATTTTGAATATTTTATGGCCCACGGCAGCTAATTGCCGAACATGTTGTTATTGTACCTTTACCTGAAGTACCTGGCCGCAGCTCTTCAGAAATCAAATGTTGTCGCGGCTACCGGAACTGGAAAATTCTCGATCGTATATCAGACACATTATTTTTTTCTATTTTTATTGCCCTACTTGACGCCATACGTTGCGTGTGGTCCTTCGCGATCTTCGAGCCACTTTCCAGTTTTTTGTCGCAATTTCTTGGAAATTCATATGCAGGTCTGCATTGTAGAAATTTTTAAGGACGTCTCGACAAACAAAAGGATCACAAAATGGTTTCGACTGAAAGGTAACCGCTTATAAAAAGCACACGAATTTTATCTTGCATAAATACAGTGTTCGTTTTTTGACAAATTTAATTTTTGTGATATATGTTCATATCAGAAAGTTAGGTTAATTCCCTTATAGTGCATACAAGCAAATTTACTTGTGTTTATATTTTATGAACCTATCAATGCAATCAGACGTGTTTTGTAAAACAAATTGTGATAGGCGTATTTGTTTTTCCAACATTACATTAAATTGAATTCTAACGTATTAAGATAAAAGATCGGCCAAAAAAATATATATTAATTCAGTTATTAATCTGTTTTTAATGTTGTTATACCCTGAACCCATTAAAAATGGGTATAAGGGTATATTGTATTTGTGCAAAATCCAAATGTATGTAACAGGCAGAAGGAAGCATCTCCGACCCCATAAAGTATATATATTCTTGATCAGCACCAATAGCCGAGTCGATCTAGCCATGTCCGTCTGTCTGTCTGTCCGTCCGTCCGTATGTATGAACGCAAGGATCTCAGAACCTATAAGAGCTAGAGACTTGAAATTTTAGATGTAGGTGCACCTAGTGCCTGCGCAGATCGATAACTTACTCCGTTTCCAAGCAATCGATAAAAATCGATATCGCTATCCTGTTTTTTGGGCAATTTTGGTAAATAATAAGAGTTAGAGTCACCAGAATTGACATATAGCTTCTAAAATAGAATGTATATATGCATTTGATGTTGGAAAAAGAGGGTTCAGGGTATCCCCTAGTCGTAAGCTCCCGACTAGTACCTCTTACTTGTTTTCTTTAATAACTATGCTTGTGTAAATACACATATATGTGATTTAATAAAATGAACATGAATACTTGTTCTTAAAAAGTCCTTGTTTTTCACTAATTTTAATAGGTTTTAGAGATAAGGAACCAATCAACTTTTTTTGCATACGATCAATGTCTTTTTTACACGGTTTTTTCTGGAACCAATCTACCGTGCTAAAACAGAATTAGGTGTATATGAAAATGAGGTAGACAGTAGATTATAATTGTGTGATATAATGCTCTGCCCTAAACTATGGTATGAGTCACCGAGGGGCACATGTTGTCAAATGTGCTAATTTGGCGCCTTCTCAAACCCTTAGCCGGAACTCTATTGCTCCAGTAACAATCAACACCTTTGCCAATCTGTAATTTAGACAGTCTTAAAATTGCGACTACTTTGCATTAAATCATCGTATCGTGTTGATCAATGGACTCCATTAAAACGATTGAGTTAAGTGACATGTGTATACATTTACATTTATAATTAAACAAGCGTTTTATCATTAAAACGTGGCTGTTTAATAGTTATTACTGTTATCAACAGAAAATACATATTAGTATATGCTAATTTTTATCGTTTGATAAATATATATCTTGCATAACGTCAGTTAATAATAGCAATGTTATCGGAATCAACTATATAATTGTTATCTTATTACCACAGCGAAAATAGCTTCTATTCAACTAAAACCTAACAATTAATTAGTTAGACAAAATCATGATATAATCTAGTTTTTCTAATTATCACTTAAATATGCTATGCTGCCGAAATATTTATCAGTACTCTTCTTAATAAGTCGGAAATTGTTTTGTGCTCATCAGGGACATCAGGGATATTTATACTCTGCACCCATAGTATATATGTTTTTACAGAGATAAAAAGTCTTAAAAGTTTGAGCGTATGTATACCTATTGCCTCCGTAAACCAGGTTTGGTTGACATTACTGAAACAACTCACGCCCTTTTCATGAAAAGTCCATATGGAAATCCACTTTCTGTGAATAACTCTGAGCTTTTGGGGGCTGCAGACACTTAATTCTCGTAAGAACAGATACTGAATTTATCACATTTTGGATAGGTCAATAAAACGACATTTCCTCAGCTTTAGCTTTACGATTTCGATTTTTATGCCCTCACAATTTCACAAAGATCGAACAATGAACACCTTTACTAATCGCTAGCACAGTTCACCAATAATACACATTTGGAAAGGGCCTGTGCCATATTTCTTTCATGACCAATGAACACCTTAACAGGCACGACAGGCTCGGGTCTCAACATAAATTTGCGTGCGTTCTTCATGCAGACTAAACTTTCGATTTGTTATGTCTTTTGGCTTTTTGTTGTAATTCTTTTTAATCGCTTAAGATTTACAAACGTTATAGTGAATAAAAAAAAATTGTCACAAAAAATTTCAAAGTCAAACCTATCAAAAATTGATATTAAATAGCTGATATTAAATAGCTGAAAAAGCCGTTGACTTCCGAAGCTTACACTCTACGAAAAGTGTAAGATATTTATCAAATTCATTTTCATAGGGACGCCTTAAAACGTATTCAAGCCCAAAGCTTAACCCACCAAATCTTTGACCCCTGACTCCCGTAAGAAGAATGGACTTTTTGAAACGTGTTCTTAAAAAATTATTAATATTATGAAAATGGTTAGCAAGAATGTGAATTTCCCATACGTTTTAACTGGCCAGCTCTTACGGCTTTAGCGTTGATCCCCAATCATTCTGTCAACCAATCTAGCAGAAAATACTACTCCATAAAAATCCTGTAGAAAGCCATGATCCAGTACCTTCAGCAGAGCACCTACTTTTTACAGTTGATTAGGGTTACACCTGATTGAGACTCTCCCTTGCAAGCAAGAACATATAATTTAGCTGACGGTTTCAGACTAAAAGAGATCGAGAGATCGCTAATGTGCTTTATAAGGATAATGAAAGCCAATGCAACAGCGCACGCAATAGTCCGTAATTGGACACAAGAATGAAGAATGAGATGAATATTGTGTAATCGATATAAAAACTTCCTTTAACAATTTGATTTATTGATGGTCAACAATAATAAATAAATAAGACTTTAAAAGTCATCACAAGGTCAATAAAAAGTAATCACAATAAATAAAAACTAAAACCTCTATAAGCTTTAGCTCAGATAGGTCTCCATTGAGGGTAGTCCTAACGCTTCGTGGCAGTTGCCGCTTGGGGCCAGCATTGCGCAGTCTGCGGCAGTTTCTGATGGGTATCGTTCAGTGGAGCTCGGCTGGTGGCCATGGCTTGCTGCAGAAAACGCACGTAGTAGAGGCTCAGTCGAATTTGGTGCTCCAGATTGGCCTCGTGCTGCACCCGATAGTGCTCGTACTGCTGCTCCATGGCCACTTGATTGGCCTGTCGGGCGCGGCGACTCAAGAGACAAGCCAAAGTATTGCGATCGCGACGCTGTTGCGCCTTGGGGCTGCGCAGACGGGGCGCATGGGAGCGCACCATGTTGGCGTGGTAGGTGGTGGTTACTGTCGTGGGCGTGGGTCTCCGCGGGGGACGTGACTCTTCCGGACCGGTTGTTATGGCTGCTCGTGGCTCATCCAGCCAAGGGCGAAAGAATGGACGCTTCGCTGGGTGCTCCATAACGAAGATCACATCATCCGTCTCTTCGTCCTGACTACGTTTGCGCTTCAATGCGGAGAACTTCTTGTGTGCATAGTTGGGGGCAGTTGCAGAGATATCCATTGTATTTGCTTGTTCCATCTAATCACAAATGCTGTTGATGTTGTTCTTGTTCGCCGTCTGGTTGTCGACTGTGCTGCCATTGTCCTGGGCGTAATCTTTTATGCAACATTAGGTAATGAATATCAAAGCGCTTGACAATCCGCCCGCCAACTCGAGCGTTTCCCACCAATCCCTTGCAGGTATTTCCCAATCAACTTCATTCATCCAAACGTGTGCCTGGGCTCGAACTAATCGCCCTGCCGCACCCCGAAACGTTCCTAGGCCAGCTACCTGCTCAGGTCTGGCCTGTTGTTGTCGTCCTCAAGGGCAGGTATATGGAGCGCTGGCTTGGCTAATCCGCCGGCTGCTGGCATTGCTAGCGTTAGCTCAGGGTGTCATAAACCAGTTGTCCTTTTTTGACTGTTTGTATCGCCAGCGATTTTCACTGGAAATACCTGTTGAGTGAGCCGAGCAAGAGCAGACCCAGTGCCTGGCATTCTAATCCTGGCGCTCATATGGCCACGGTGTCTACGGCCGCATTGTTCGGCTTCCTTTGTGTCGCCTGTAAAGTTTTAATGTTACCGCCGATCCGCAGAGCATTTATGACTTCAGCTTGTGAGATCGGCTGGCCAGCTGAAAATATTACTCTTCCCAAGGTACTGGGCATCATTACTGAATCCCAGAATCCGACTCCCACTCACACGAAGACATCGTCCCTTTGGTCGGAGTGCGTGCGATCGTAACCATGTCGGATTTTTCATTCATTGCCTCTTTTTCCAAGTCGTGTCCATTGATTTATGCAGTCAGTGTCGTTCGACTGCTAAGCGGATTTATTTCAGGTGGGTTTGAGTCCGGCCCTGAACAAATGCTGCTGAGTCAAGCACCAGGACTACAATTGTTATTGCTGTCTCTAAGTATTGCACTGAAAGATTGCCATATTGTTTGATTACAATGATCAGATCACATTTTCCGTTGGCCGGAAAGAATTGATAACGTAAAAGTAGTGCATTCTTCAGTATTTTTACGATCATGCAACTGTTCTACTCCGCATATAATGGGACACACTTGTACAAACCGGCCAGGAAACGCTTTCTTTGCTGACACAACGACAAATTCTAAGAAAGGATTTCTAGAAGAGAGTGACAAAGGCTAGGAAATGTGAATGAATTGCGTTTAATATGATTGATTTACTTGTGACCTTTCTCACATATTATCTTGCAAGGTCGCGTTGAGATTTCGTAGTACTTACATACATAATAAAAATCCATTAATAAACTCACGGCCTATTCAATGCAACTTGCTTAAATATAATCTAATGACTGACAGAAAATCAATTTGTTAGAATTACAATAGATTAAATTTGTATATACCAAGCTTTAAAGCTAAATTCCAGCCATTTTTATCTGAATATATTTATATGCATAATTTACATTATTTGTAAAAAAAAACAAAATATACATCCTCTTATTATTATTAATTTCTTTATTAATGGTCAACAGGAACAGAAACAGAAAAATTAAAAGCTGAAAGTCTTATCACAAGAATACATTTTTAAAAGGATATAGGAAAAAGAGATAGCTATGAGCTTTATTTTTAACCGGCCCGAAAAGCTGTACCCATACTCATAGCTGGGCGTGGACAGCGTGTTCCTGAAGGTAACCTGAAGGCAAATATTTTATTAGAGGAAAAGTAAGTTCAGTAGAGAAAACTTGGTGCGAGCTATTGTAATCTAGATACCGTAAGCTATCGTTCACGTAGCTAGGGATAGTTCCTGATAGGTCGGAAAGTTGCAGAGAATTGCAGATGAGAAAAAAAGAATCAATGTCGCCAACAGTTATCCTTTGTAGGAAGACAACACCGAGGATTGTTTATTTGTGGACAACATTATCGTACTTATTCAATTCAATTTACTTGCCTTACTTGATAATAGTCCAGCAATGAGAATAATTTACAATTATCTGAAGAAAAAAAAACCACCAAGATCTCCGAAATTTAAGCATATGTAAAATATGCCTGCATAGATATATAAAGGGATATATCGACATGTAGTATTCGTCCATAATTCATCATTTTATTGACAAGATTGGATGCAATATTTCGGGAAAGTCCCAATAAATTTCCATTCAATTGCCCATTGTTAGTAAGCCGGCGAGCGTGCAGCAGCTCATAGAATGATGTGCAACATAATGAGCCAGATTAGCGGTAAGCGAGATAGGAATCTAAAAGCGCTGAACCGATATTGGGATCGGCTACCTCATCAAAGAACATTCTGGGACAGGGCGCAGGCGCTGGCTGAATGCTCGTGTTCTGGTGAAATCTTCTCGAGAAATACCAAGAAATACCAGGCAGAGACAGAGAGCAGCAGGAGAATATACTCGTGTATGTAGGTGCGAGCCGAGCACCGCTGGGCAAATGAAAAATTAATTACAAAAAGGACTTGTCCGAGCAGGTAACAACATAACATACATACATATTTTGGAACAAATCCTTTTCTTTATATAACAATGCAGACCTTTGTCAACGAAGTTTTCCCATAAACAAGACGCAGCTCACCTTAATGATAATTTCCCGAGCAGGTAGCAAGCGCCGTCTCCTATAAAAGCAGCCGTTGCGCAGCCCAAGGAGCACAGTCTTTCCACAAACACCAACATAACAACATCTCAGCATTTTAACACAATCCTCACCTACACGATGGCACCCTCACAAATGGATTATCCGCAACAAGAAAACGAAGCGAACCTCGTTTATACTCATAAGAAATTTAACACAGGCTGCTACAAGCACAAAAAATTTGGCAAGCGCAGCAGCAAAGAGGACACGGTCACGAGCACGCCGCTATTTCGGCCTTATGCACTGAGCGACAACACGCCACGGAAGCGTCGTCAGGAGTCGGAGCAGCGCCATCATCAACACCAACTACCGCCCACGCCGCCAACAACGCCTCCACAGCAGCAACAACATCATCAGCAGCAGCGGTGGCAGCCACAAACGTACGCGCTACCCACGCCTACAGCCACGCCCACGCCGATCATAAATCACACTCCCACAACCATGCCCACGCCCACACCGATCATGAATCATCAGGCGTTCGCCTATGTACTGCAAAAGCAACGCGCGGTACTCCAAATGCGCCATATGCTCAGCATCAATCCGGATGCCAACACCTGGCCAGCGGAGTTGCGCAATGCGCTCTACTCCATGCTCCAGTCATGAGTGGAAATGCGCTTCCTCTTAATAGGTGACATCGATAGATGCTACCAACTTGGTGATTTGCCTAGCAACCAGTGATATAGAATTTTAAGTGCCTCAGAGATTGTATAGGGTATGAAATTGTGAATGAATGACATTAATCTAGACTTAATGATTGTACATACAAAATATTGAATCAAATATAATATTAAGAGAACCAAATAAAACAATTGGATGTACTATATAAAAGTCTTTCTATCAATCGCTCAATATATAAATTAAAAAGTTTTAATTTGTATATTATTGATGCACTGACGAGGACATCTCTCGACAATATAAATTACGCATATTTTCGAAAAGAGCTCTCAGCTAAATAACTTTGCCTTTAGATGGCTTGCTCATAACTTATAGAAGGCAAGAAAGATAGTCGTGCGGAGAATTTTAGGGTCAATAATCATTTAAACATAAATTTATATATAAAAAAGGAATAAATCAATTTATAAATTATGTTGTTGCGGATATTAGAAGTAAAATAATAGCTATAACCCCGTTTAACAAAAAAGAGCAAAAAGAGTTGTTTCTTTTTTAAAAACTTAATGACTGGTGGAAAAATTGAAAACAATAAGGCGAAGGGCCTTTTGTATAGTATGTCCTATGTGAAGCATTTCATATAGTTGACAGCTTCAAAGAGCATAATTGACCTATTATCCACAGACTTGTAAGTAAGGGTGATTGCAAACATTTACTTTTAAACTGAATTAAATAGAACTCTTAAACAAATACTATGGTTGTCTTAAAATCTACAGAGAATTGTTAAAGCCAAGGCGATCGAAAACGGAGTTCGCTTGAACCCTTGGACGATGCCCAGCATTTACGCTAGAGTGCCGACGCGGAGCAAACGAGTTCGGCTTATGATCGCGTTGCTGGGGGCGAGGAGGTGGTGGCAGCTGCGCTGACGCCGTTGTGCCCAGACGCTTGTGCACAGGTAGCGTATCCTGTCGCGTAAGCAGCTCATCGCTGCGCATACGTATTGCCTTTCCCTTGACGGGGCTGATGCGGGCTCCAGGTTTCTGTGGCGGAGACGCTTTGAGATTATACGTTTTACGCGTGGCGTGTAATTTGGAAACTGTTGATTAAAATGGTTAATTTTGAATGCGATAGAGTGCTTACAGAAATCAAGCTTACCCAGGCCCAAACGAGACTTTATGTTACGTGCAAAGCTGCTGTTTCCACGCGCTTTGTAGGGCGTGTGTGGAGCGATTTCTCGCACCTCTGCAGTAGAGGCAAACTTAACAATTTTCTCAGCGGGTGCGGCCATATCCACATCTAGTTCACAATCTTCGGCTTCGCTGTCAAAATCACTGTCAGCCTCTAATAAGTCCTCGTCATCCATGCTTTCATCTTCGCTATCATCGCCACGTTTTAATGGCACCTTGTGCACAAGCATTACCTTCTGCTGCGAACGCACCACGGACATTGCCGTATTCTTGGCCTTGACTATGGGCGTGTTACGTCTGGCGCCGCTGCCGCCGTTGGTGCCTTGAGTGTTCTTTAAAATCGATTTTATTTCCTTGGCCAGACCCGTATTCTGCTGCACCGTATCCAAGGATTGCTTGCCGCCAAGGCGAGCAAAAACCGAGTTATTGCTAGAGGTGGCCGCCACTTTGACGCTGGATCCCTTATGAACGCCAGTAATGTGCACACGCACGTTGCTCTCCCCGCTGCTAGAGACAATGCCCTCCTGAGCATCGTCGTCACTCTTGCTATTGTGCAAACGTGCAAAGACGTCCGTTTTCTTAGTGCTGCTTACACGATCCGAGTATACTGCAAAACAGGCAACGAAATTATTACAGGGTTGCATACAATAGTTGCATATAAAGTTGTCAGAAAGCATATTTTGACTATTGGCTCTACCAGTTTAAAATAGATTTGAATAGATATTAATGCTAAAATGTTATCATACACTGCTCCCGCTTGGCTAGGATTTGCTTGCTTCTTTCTGTCGTGCCTGACGGCAAAGTAACTTTATATTTTCCTTCATGTTCAGGCAGCACACGACGTGCTGGTTTTGTGGGTGGCGATGCTTTGTTGGCGCTGCTGGCTGCAACTGGAGATGATGACACATGCTTGCTGCTGGGCGGCACACGCTTGCTGCTGGGCGGTACATGCTTGCTGCTGGGCGGAGCAGGAGCTGCTCCAGCGACGGTCTTTGACATGGTTTTGGGCAAAGGCGCCTCCGCTATTAGTACCCTGTCGAGCACATTTTGGTCGCTCACTTGTTTCGCATGACGCAGTATGGCTATAATATCACCCATGGGTGTAATGCCCATCTCACGCAGATACTCCTTATTCAGATCGAGTAGCATGTCCTCCTGTATACGATTCTCCACAAATATATGAGCATAGCTGGCCGCAGCTGGGGATGGAATCCCCCCGGCGTTGAAAAACTTCACCCATCGTGCTGTAATATGTGTACATCAGTTATTTATATATATATATATGATAATGTTATACACACCTGCACTTGACTTTGACATGGCTTTTGAAGAATAACGCACTTTATAACTATATTTTTAATTTTCACATTTATACAGTGCGATAGAGCTGTACAGAATCGTTTGGAATCAGTTCAATCGAACAACTCTGTAGGCTGACCAAATGAACTAAGTTCCTCAATGTTGTTTATTTTGTTCGTCTCGGAATAGCCATATTTTTCGTATTAAAATGTAGTTCCTTGATGCAGTTTATGTGTTTAACAGCGTTAATAATATTTAAATACCAAATGGTTCTTATCTTTTATAGAATCTTCTTTGGAAGTTTATTTCGCTCAAATTTGAGTATAACATCGCTACTAACAGAGTGAGAGCAGAACAGGACGCTATATCGAACTGGCCTATCGATAGTTGATTGTATCAAAATGGCAACCCTGGCACGATAATTCTGTCAAACAGCTGACACAAGGGGAACGCCAGAAATCTGCTGGAACAGCGTAAACAACGCCGCTGCACGTGCCGCATATCATTGATATTCATTTAATTTTGTTTGTGTTGCAACATGGCTAGTCGAATTGAGCTGCTTAGTGAGCAGGGCTTGCGCCTGGATGGTCGCCGGCCGCACGAACTGCGCCATATTCAGTGCAAATTGGGCGTCTTCGAACAACCCGATGGCAGCGCTTACATGGAACAGGGCAATACAAAAGTGCTGGCTGCCGTGTACGGACCACATCAAGCGAAGGGCAAAAAGACCGAGGGCAACGATCTAATCATCAACTGTCAATACAGTCAGGCCACGTTCTCAACTTCAGAGCGCAAAAATCGACCACGAGGCGATCGCAAATCGCAGGAGTTCAAAATGTACCTGCAACAGGCGTTAAGTGCAGCCATTAAATCCGAGCTGTATCCACGCTCCCAGATCGACATCTATGTGGAGGTGCTGCAGGCGGATGGCGCCAACTATGCTGTATCCCTAAATGCTGCTACCCTGGCGCTCATTGATGCGGGCATATGCCTAAACGAGTTTGTTGTGGCATGCACCGCATCTTTGAGCAAATCAAACATTCCGCTAACGGATATATCACACATAGAGGAGGTTTCCGGCGGTCCAAAACTGACCATTGCGGCACTGCCCACCGCCGAAAAGATTGCATTCATGGAGATGAGCGAACGCTTTCACATCGATCAACTAGAGACGGTCATAGAGACCGCAATGGCCGGATGCCGAGAGATTCGAGACATACTGGAGTCGGCGGTCAAGGAGCACCTCATACACATTGGCAGTGCAGCAGACTGGGCACGTGTTTGTTAAAATAAAGCATTTTTATTAACTTTAATTATTAGACTAAAAAGCGGGGGAATATGCGATTAGCTTTTATCTGACGCCTTCTGTGGCGGCTGCCACTCTTCGAGCAACTCCACCAGCTTCAGTTTGCGCTGCTCCAAATGTAGCCGCTCAATTAGATCGCTTAGTTGCTGGCCACCCTCGAGGAACCCGCTCAGATTGTGCAGCGTGCCGCCCTGCTGCACGCGGTGATCCGTTACACGATCCTGCACAAAGTTATACGTGCGAATCTTTTCGTTGCGATTTAGATTGCCCTGTTGTGCCTTTCGCGTCGCCTGTTTGGTCGCCTCGGAGCTCTCCAGCTGCTGCTGCATAAGCTTGGCCTGCAGACGCTTTAGCGCCAGCTCCCGATTCTTTAGCTGGGAACGCTCTGACTGCGATTCTACAGCCAAGCCCGTAGGTAAATGCACAATGCGCACGGCTGAATCTGTGGTATTTACATGTTGACCGCCAGCGCCGCTGGCACGTTTCGTCTCAATTTTGAGGTCTCGCTCCGCAATATGCACCTGAACATCAGCCGGCCGTGGTATCACTGTTATTGAGGCGGTGCTGGTGTGCATGCGTCCAGACTTCTCGGTGGCCGGCACACGTTGCACTCGGTGCACACCCGCCTCGTAGCGCAGCCAATTGTAGGCCTCGGGATCGTTGACCAGCAGATTGGCATAACGCAGTCCACCAATGTCGGTGGTCTCATGGGCATACTCCTCATACTCCCAGCCCATGTGCTCGAAGTAGCTGGTGTACATGTCGTAGAGCTCCTGGGCAAACAGCATGGCCTCCTGTCCGCCGGCTCCAGCGTTCACCTCAAATATCAGCGACGGGTAGTCCTCATGGTCAGCAAGTGCGAGCAGCTCCTGCAGCATTGCTTCCTCCTGTTTACGCAACAATTCGGCATAAACGCTATTTTCCTCTTGCATCAGTGCACGCATATCCTCGTCCTTTTCAGCGGCCAAATCCTGCTCAGGTGTTATATTGCGCTGCAGGGCTCTGTGCTTTTCAAGGGAATTCACGACCGGATCCAGACGCGACAGGCGGGCATAGAGGCTGCTGTTACCGGCTGCATTGACGCGGAGCGCATAATATTCCTGGCGCAGTGATTCCAGGTATGCTTGCAGCTTCTCATTCTGGAAACAAAGCGGATCTGTGCTGGCCCATCGTCGCAGTAAATAGTTAGAACGCGCTGTCAACAATTTCCGAAGCAACATTATTTCACAGCAAATAAAAAATAAGAAATCGAATCTTGGTTAAATAACTGCCCAATTGCTGATATGAATTAACATAACAGTGAGATGAACTGAAACGAAATAATCGATAGTATTTTAAGCAACAGCTGTTCTGCTATGGCAATTGTGAATATGATACCGTTCTTTCTTTATCAACTGGTAAATATACAAATTATCTTTCAACTATCAGAACTTAATTTTTTCAAGCCATTGGTTGGATAATTTTGCATAAATCTGCATTACCTAATTTTGGTAGTCGTCTAGCAACATATAAGCGCGCGCTGTTAACTTTTCAGCAAATGTTATCTTTTTGGGTGCCCACAGATGTATGTGTAGCTTTTTAGTGTTGAGTAAAACATTATTTATTGTTCACTCTGATGGGCTTGCTCACTCGAGGAACAGTTATTTTGTTAATTTGTTATATTTAGCCATATCAGTGCAATAAACAGTACTAACAAAGTACTTTAAACAAGGCACATCATTAGCAGCAATAACAATAACAACCTGTGTAACAAATATGTACAAGCTGCAAGCCCAGCAATTTTCAGCCTAACATTTATATATGTATCTGTGGGTGTGCGTGTGATGTGTGCCTGTGTGTTGTGCTTGATTAATGAAAACAGTTGTGTTCGTAGTGGTGTAAACTGCAGCAATAGCAATTAAGTTTAATTAAATCATAAATTGGATGTGAAAAGGCTGCCAGAGTGCATTTAAATAAAGTCAGCAGAAGTCGTAGCAAAAGTATAACGAGATGCCACCGCTTAAGAGTTATTCCATGCACCACGAATTCAATGCAAATAATGCAAATTGTCACAACGGCAATGAGAACACCACCGATAACGATAACGATTACTTCAGTCAGCCTGCAGCATCTGCAGCTGCTGCCGCCGCCAGCACACAACGCACAAATCTGCCCTCTTACTGCAATGCCCAGTACCCGTTTAAGGTGCTAGCCAATCTGAATCAGCTGCGGGAGCAATCACGCTTTTGCGATGTCGAAATCGTAGCGGGCGAGTCCACCTTTAATGCACATCGCGCAGTTTTAAGCGCTTCCAGTGCCTACTTCGAGGCCATGTTCAGGCCCGAACTGGGGCTCAATGAAGTGAAACAGAAATCTGTGGTTTTGCACACAATTGATGGCGATATATTACACATACTCCTGGACTTTATATACACAGGACGTTGCGAGATTACGCAAGTAAGCAGTTGAGTTCTCTATTGTCACTTAAATAATACCACTATGTACATATGTCCCCTTTCAGTCCAATGTGCAGGAATTGCTTGCTGCGGCGGATATGTTGCAGTTGAACGAAGTGGTCGACGGCTGCTGTGAATTTCTGTGTCGAGAGTTGCATGCCACGAATGCATTGGGTATTCTGCGGTTCGCGGAAGCGCACAATTGTGAATCACTGGCAAAAAGTGCGATGAACTTCGTGCAGGCCAACTTCCCAGCGGTAAATAGCACTTTTTATATTAAATTCAAACAAAAAAATTCGATGTTTCCGCCCGGGTTCGAACCGGGGACCTTGTGCGTGTGAAGCACACGTGATAACCACTACACTACGGAAACGGATGAAATTTAAGTTGCGAAGCGTAACTTCCTAGATACGTTCGGCGTCTTTATTATTTATTGGGGTCGCATTTATAGAATATAAATTATGGAAAAATTTTAATCCCTCGTCTCAGGATAGTTTTTTTTTTTTTTGTTAGCTAAGTGGATCGATCTCTTAAGCATATTTAATTACAACTCGAACCCTTAATCTCTCACTAAAATCCAGATTTGTATTCGGTTCCACTATATTATAGATTTATTATGACCCAGCAGTAAACCGCTAGGCACAACTAAAAATTCAATTTAGACTCATTAGAGTGCTCCTCTCCACGGAAATCTTTAGTAAAAGGCGAAAGATTTATTCGACAACTGAAGAGAAGCCAGAGTAATTTAACAATATAACTACCCTGATCCTAGTTTCAATGCATGCTTAGACTGTTTGAGAATTATATGAGACATTTCATACAAAGACTCCTTAGGGTAGACAACACAATAATTTCAAATGCAAAACCAAGATAATATAATTCTCAAAAGGTTCTATCCTGGCGGTGGTGTACTATTACAAGCTTAGCGTGTTAAAGTTATCGCTTCTCGGCCTTATGGCTAAGATCAAAGTGTAGTATCTGTTCTTATCAGCTTAACATCTGATAGTTTCTCCATTGGAGAACAACAAATGTTAAACTGATTTTTGGAAATTGACGGAGTGCTAGGGGCTTGCTCCACCTCTGTCGCGGGTTGGCCCGGTATTGCAGTACCGCCGGGATTTCGGCCCATTTTGTTAATGAATGTCAGATTCGCTTGGATGGTGTTAACTAGCTATGCTAATTTTTACTGTGTCAATTTTCACTGTATCGCCCGCAGATAACTCTAGAAGATGAGTTCCTGGAAACACCACAAACTTTATTATCGCAACTGCTTAACTCGGAGTTGTTGCGCGTTGACTCCGAATCACAGGTGTTCCAGGCGGCGCTTCGCTGGATAAAGCATGATGTAACGCAACGTCGGTGCTATGTCTTCGATATACTGTCACATGTCCGTATGGCCTTGGTGCCGGTAAAGGTCATCGATAAAGCTTTAAAGGATGATTGTCGCGATATGTCTGTAAAAATCGCGTTACGAAGCATTTGCCGGGATATTGCTTCAAAGCGCGGCCAACTGGTGCCGCTGCGCGTCTGTCCACGTCAGCTGGCCAAGAAGAATATATATATTATTGGAGGATCACATCGCGATACGCCGCGCACTTGGAACTCTGCGGACTGCACATTCGAAACAGTGGCCAAGTTCGACATATTCCGACGTGAATGGACTGAGACGGCACCCATGGAGGTGGGCCGCATTCTGCCGGGCGTGTCGGCATTAAATGGCAAGATCTATGTGGTAGGCGGCGAACGTGGCTCGCAAATTCTGGCCAACGGCGAGGTATACGATCCACAAAACGATATTTGGCAGCCTATAGCACCGATGATTGTGCCCCGTTGCGAGTTCGGACTATGCACCATGGGTGGCAATCTGTTTGCAGTGGGCGGCTGGATAGGCGACGACATTGGCGGCACCATGGAGTGCTATGATCCAGAGAAGGATCTCTGGAAGCTGATTGGTAGCATGCCACAGCCACGCTTCAGCATGGGCGTCGTCAGTTTCGAGGGGCTGATCTACATAGTGGGCGGCTGCACTACGACAACAAGACATTTACCGGACTTAATAAGGTAATGCCCCTTTCACATCTGTTCCCACTTTTATCACATGACTTTTTTCTTCATATCAGCTACAATCCCGTGACCAAGGAATGGACGCAACTGGCACGCATGCAAACAGCACGTTGCCAAATGGGTGTCGCTGTGCTCGATCGCTATTTGTATGTGGTTGGCGGCAGCAGCATCAGTCAGGATATACTTAGCTCAGTGGAGCGGTATAACTTTGACGACGACAAATGGTCGACGGTGTGCGCACTGAACGTTCCACGCGCCATTCCCGCTGTGGCCGCCGCCGATGGCCTGCTCTACGTGGCTGGCGGGGATCAGGTTAGTCAGATTGTAACATTGCAGGATATCTGAAGGTATCTAAATTATATTCATCTTTCTGTTGACAGCCCTGCGAGGTGAACTTCTATCGCGCCCAAGTAACCATAAGCGCCGTCGAATGTTACGATCCACTTTCGGACACCTGGAAAAATTGTCCTGACTTGCCGGTTAGCCGTTCCGAAGCAGGCGCTGTGGTTGTGTAAAAAAAAGCCAAAAGTCCAACAACACTCTCACATCTTACGATCTTGTTTTAAGCACATCTAATATGCCCGACGTAAACTCTCACACACATTTGCTTGTGTGGTACACGCTAGTTACCAACATCCATTTTCTCTTTGAAAGTTGAACGTAGCGCTCTTTAAGGCTAGACGCTCTGTGCGATTAATGTTTTCGAAATGTAGCTCAGCTATTTCTACCCAGTTTAGTATTATCTAGAACTTAGTCTGGAATGTAACAGTAACAATAGCCAGCATCTGATTGCTCCGTAGTAAAAGTTGTCCTTTATAAAAGCGAAAACCAAAATTGACATGGAAAAAGTAAATCGATGTATCGTAATTGCTGAAAATTGTTCATCTTAGACCTATTGATGTTTATGTTAATCGATTCAAATACGTCAAGTCAGAGATCGCCAGCATTGTAGGTGCGTCCTTAAAAAGCGCGTGCCCAAATAAATTGTAATTGTATGATTAAAATGTACCAAAAACTAAAAGCAAACATTCAAAAAGAAACAAACTGTATTAATAATAAGTGTATTTACGAATAATAAACGTACGACTAAAATCACAAAATAGACTTTACCACCTCTTATTTCAGTTACGTGATATTCGGAAAACCGGGTCAAAATATTGCGATATTGATAAGATCAAGCCGTTTCCGAATTATATTGTCCTGCGTGCAACAGGAAGTGGGACGAAGAGGCATGGCTGCCGAGTCTGACCAACAAAATACAAATATATGGGATCGCAGGTGTCAAGGATGTAAATAATAAGAACAAGCACCTCGGAATACGGGGCGGAGGCATTTGAAACGATAGAATTAAATTTCTTAAATATCTGATTGAACCCGTACGATTTATTAGTTAATTGGGCCGAAATCCCGGCGGTACTGCAATACCGGGCCAACCCGCGACAGAGGTGGAGCAAGCCCCTAGCACTCCGTCAATTTCCAAAAATCAGTTTAACATTTGTTGTTCTCCAATGGAGAAACTATCAGATGTTAAGCTGATAAGAACAGATACTACACTTTGATCTTAGCCATAAGGCCGAGAAGCGATAACTTAAACGTGCTAAGCTCGTAATAGTACACCACCGCCAGGATAGAACCTTTTGAGAATTATAAGAATAAAATATGAAAAATACATCCAGTGCTGTAAAAGACGCTCGACAAAGCTACGAAATACAGCTGTGTGGACATAGTGCTGTACAACAAAAGAAACAGTGCTCTAATTCGGATGATATAGTTTGACCGCGCACACATAAATTTGAAATTTAAAATGTGACATGCAAAGAATGTTTAGTTTTGTGAAATGTATGACATAAATTATTTTATATTATTATTTGTAATCAAAAAGTAAAATGTGAATGTTACAAAATTTTGTTTCGTATCAGATTATGTTACCTAATTAAAAGCATACAATGCAACCGAACAGCTCGTCCAATGAAATAACCGATGGTCTGGACACCGAATCCTTGCCGGGGAACAGCTCCATCAATCGTCGCCAACGTCGTCGGCAAGAGAAACGCCAAAGACAGTTGGAGAACAAAAGACATTTGCTGTATACCAAACATTTTTCGAACTTTCGTTTACCGGTGTCTGTGCCCTCAACAGATCTGAAGATGGTGCAGCTAAGTCGCTATGAATCCATTGTTGATCGCGAACGGCATCCTCCACTCTTTGTGGTACCTGACCAGAAATCTCAATGGGCGCGACTGAGAATGATTTCATGTCCATGTCACGGCTGCTCCTGTACCTTAGATCCAAATGGCTGGTTGTCTCACTATCTTAATGTCCATATGCCAATATTGGGCGTCCCATTTGTGGATGTGCCGTTTCCTATTGAAAAGCAAACACTCCATGCCACCTGCAATGTGGGTAGTCTTGATTATGATGTCAACACTTTGTTGGGTGTGTTTGGCTATCAGCGCTTTGGGCTCAATCCGCTCAATTGTCCGCGCAATACGCTGCTGCCAAAAGACTACCGCAAGTATTCCCAGCATGGAGTTTTATTGCTTTTTGCCTGCCGTACGCGACATGGATTGCTTTGGCAACGTAAGCAAATCGATGATGTAGTTGCCATTTGGGTCTCGACGCCGCTGCAGGGTATATCCATATCGCTGCGCTGTGTAGTACATCCCGCGCAATCGACACGTTACTATCCGAAGCGTTTGCACGCGCGCCCACTGCCGGCTTCAGCAGAGAAAGGTCCGCCCTGCCGTGAGTTCATCAAGACGGACAACAACGTCATTGTAATCAGCTATCAAGATTTATGGCAGCTACTGACACTAAATGTGGGACAGCAGCTACTCAATGTGGAGCTGCACCTAATGGGCGAGCAAAAAATATGATATTGGTTGATATAGATTGGGCAAATATACGAAAGTCGCATCTAGGCTATAAATAATTTTTATTGTTTTTTTGGCAATAGTATTAATTATATTTTCTTTAACAAACTAAACATGACAATGATACTTAAGATTTAAACTCAGAAATTTACACTTAACAGCAAACAATGCTGGAGATTACGTTCGCTAACGCTTTAAAATGAATAGGCAATCATCCACACATACATTTTCACAATTCTAACTTAATATATTTCGTACAATTTCGTAGAGTTCGCACTCGTTACGCTTAGAAAATATAAAAGGAATTTACAAATTTTGAGCCTACATATAATTTAGATTTGATAAGCTACTTTACGATAGTGTAAATGTGTACCTAAACTTATATATATATATAGCTGTATATATATAAGTTTGTATACAACTGTGTGTGTGGGCGTTTGTGTGTGTGTATGAAGGGGCATGCAATATTCGGCCCGTAGCAATTACAATTGCTTAACACAACACAAAACAAAACGAAATTCAAAACGAAACATTCTAAACAAAAAAGGTGGCAACTAAAAACATTGTCTATTATTAAAAAAGCGGAAGCTAGCCCGCCTTTTGCGTTTGCTTTTGTCGCTGGAGTGCCTCGAACGCTTCGATTTCCTTCTTTTCTTTGGCTTGATTTCGACGCTCGTATTCCAGTCGATGCGATATGATGCGCTCAACAATGCGCTCTGTGGTCATGTCATTGCCAGAGTCGAGTAGCTCAAATATGGCTCGCGTCTTGGGCACAGCATACGGATCAATTTTGCCATCCTCCAGAGAGATTGGCGTACGACCGTGGCAGACAACATCAATCTTGAAATGATCTAGCAGCTCTTCTGTGACACAGTAGGGTGCGCCAATAACTACCTCGTTGACAAACTGCAGAGTGTAAGAGGTTGTTTGTTATCCGTTTAAGTGCCTGCGATAAGGATGTAAGGGATTTACCTTGCAGGCCAAGACGCTAAGCACACGCTCATGCAGATTCATAATGGGATAATTGCTACCCTTATAGGAGTTGACAACGGGATCTGTGTGCAGGCCCACAATCAAATAGTCGCCCAATTTGCTGGCCTTTTCCAGGAAATCCAAATGACCCACGTGGAAGAGATCAAAAGCACCGGCCACATATACCTGTAAAAAAAAACAAATGTCATGAAATTCATTTTTCAATTGATATTTGTATTGTACTTACTATCTTATCGCCTGGATTTGGCGATTTGCCATCGCTGAACTGTATGATTTTCTGTGTTGTGGGCAAAAACTGGCTGCAACCTGTCCAGGGACTCTTCGCTGTCGAATCCTGACCCATATTCGATGAACCTAAACGGGATTGCAGTTGTTGAATTTTTAAAAGTTTTTCTGTTTCAATTTTTTAAAATTATCAAGTTTTTTTTTTTTTTTTTTAACAACGGATACATATGAACATTACATTACAATTTACAATTAGGTTTCGATTTGATATTTCATTTTGATGTCAGTTGATTGGTGGTTTATTTCATTTTTTTTTTTTTTTTTGGGTTTTCATTTTAGTTTGAACGCGGGGCGGCAGCACGCACGGGATTTTGAGATTTTAGTTCATAGGTTTTGATTTTGATTTGAGTTTGGTTAGTGGTAAACAGTGCGCACATAGAAATAAAAAAGAAGAGAAATAGTAAAGATGTAGAGAGCAAAATAAAGCAAATGTTTTGTTACGTTCAAAGAATGCTACGGACAGTATTCGCCAGATTCTAATAGAAAATTAATCAACCAACTAAAAGCAAAACGTGCGTGGCCCAGACTCGTAGTATTATGTATAAATATATCTAAATATTAAGAAGTTCAACTTTGATTCTCTGCTCATACTTGGAACTGCTTTCGAGGTTTGATGTGGTGTGCGGTGTTAGATCAGCATGCAGAAGAGATATTAAGAAACGAGTTTCAAAAGCAAAGCAAACAATTAATTCAGGTTAGTGAAAGTAATTATTTCAAAATGAGTAACAACTGGCAGATGAGGTGGACGCACTTAAAATAAAGCAACGTTAAATGTAAACAGTACGTAAGAAGCGGACGCTACCTTCTTTCTCGATGTCATACTCGGCGGAGCCCTGACGGAAGTGGTTGCGGGTAAGCAGCAACATGCGTCCCACGAGATCTGTCGTTGAAACTCCGGCGGTGCGCTTGACTTCCCTGTGAGACGAAGAGTTTTAAGGTGAGTCATAAAAAAACACTTGAAAGCATATAGAGAGAGGGTCACTTACTTGTAACGGTTAGCCGACTTCACCAGATGATAGGTATCCACACCCTCAGCGGTCATGGTTATGTCATCTGTAAGCAATTAAGGGGCAGTTAATGTTGATGATCAAATGTCGAGTAAGTCGAATGGCAAACTTACCGCCATGCACACAAAAATCACAATTATTTTGATCGAGTACTTCTAGGGTGGTCACATAGGGCGCACCAAGAACCACCTCGTCGACCCATTTAATGCCTTTGACCATCTTGACGCGCTCCTCCTCGGTAAAGACGGGTGGTCCCTTATGTTTGGTGATCTCCTCATCGGTATGTATGCCCACAATTACTTTATCGCCAAGTGCTTTGGCTTGTCGCAGTGAATTGGCATGCCCAAAGTGCACCATGTCGTAGCTGTTTCAAACAAAGAGCAAAGATTTATTTAATGAATATTCCAAGAATTGCGCAAGTACCATATGTACAAGTTGTATCTTGCTTCCGCCTTAAACAAACAAATCTTCCGATTGCATTTTCTAATCAAACAGAACGGAAAAGAGATAGCGAGAAACACAGCATACAGGAAACAATGAATTGTTAGCCCTTATCGAGACTATCCAATTAGCACAGCGCGTGTCAATTTAGACAAGTCCTACAGAAGGGTGAACACTTAAAGAGAAGCCTATAGACTCATTTTTTAACAGAGCTACAGAAAAATATGAAAGCCGTTCAATAAATATAAATATCAAAGCTAGCTAATACTATTTGCATGACAATATTGTTTAAGCTGAAGTTTACAGTGAACCAAAACGACCTTGCCATATATATAGAACATGGCGCTGATTCATGAGGAATATTAGTGTTATGTTCCAGATAGCCCTGACGATTATAGCAGCTGAATTATCGCTTGGCTCGCAAAGTTTCCATTCACAGAGAGCCCCAGCGTAGCCGGGGGTTCAAATAACTCACGACAATACAAAAATTGATGACAATTTGTTGACAGAACGGAAATTCAATCAGGGCGCGTGTGACTTTTGACATATAACCAGACGAAGTGCCACAACAATTAGGAATATTGCCTATTTTAAGCAAATATACGAACGTCTAGCAATTAACTTGTGGGAGTTTAGCAATAATTTCGATATGTTCTTGACAGGCAATACACACAGTACATTCGCAATTGCCGCAAGGCATTTAAATCAAGCAAATAAACCAACTCGCATACACTTGACATAACATGCTCAAAGTTCGGACAAGTCAACGTCTGGCCAAGCACAGAGAGCCGCTCCCCAAGGCGGACGCCGCTTGCTCCACTTTTTCTTTCTTTTTTCTAGAGCCGTCGCACTTTGGACGCGATCATCAGTTGCGAATTGCCACACACAAGAGAAATACTTGTGTATGGGGCATATTTTTCATTTCATTGATTTCTGTTGTGTGCCTGGCTTTATATATGCAATATTTTGATGTCTATGGAATGCTGGAACCCAAGCGCAATTCTAATCAACACGCGACACGCTTTAGCCAAACGCTCTGGACGTGCCAAGCCAAGCAAATTGCATTTAATGCCATTTTTGTTGAACTGACAAATAACTTACGAAATACATTTGCGTAATTATTGGTGGCTTTTTATTGTCATTAATTAAATACAATTTAAATGCCAAGCCGAGAAGAGTATTTAAATGGCGAGGAAAGCTCTCCTAATCTCTGCCCCCTTTATGGAAATCTTGACCAGGCGCCCTGACTGGCTTTTTATGTTGAACACTACAATTTTTGGCTATCAAAATTAACTACACTGTTTTCCATTGCTTTAACAATTGCCAAGAATCGTTGTAGATAACATGTTATAATCAATAGGACGAGGCCGCCCGTTGTCGTACATTTAATTAATGTTGATACAAGAAAATCAGACCGCGCATTTAAACCAACTAAGCCAAATGGGAATGAACACATATTGATGTCACCCACACCCTGCCAGACGACAACGACAATCGGATTCCAGGCAATTGCCATTAAATTATTCATGATAACAGTCCAAAACGTCACTCTTATCAATCCGGCAGATTGGCTAGCGTACGAACGACTGGGCCACGACAATTAGTAATGCACACGTAATAACATATAATACGAAGGCCTAAGACATGACTACGTTCATGTATATATATATATCTTACATAATATAGACCCAGGCAAAACCCGAAATAAAGCTGTTCAATTGACCAGCCTGGGTAATCAACGTGACGTCATTCAATTGGCATCTCAACAGTCAGAGAAATCAAATCCGAAAAGTTCTATTGCAGACGGGTCTATCAACTATCTGTATCTGGGTGGCCAGCAGAAGGTGGGCCATTCATTAAGACGACAATGAATAGCAACCGGGGCACACCTTTGATCCCGGAGATTTTGCGACACTCAAGAAATCTGTGTCGAACATAAAATATATATATGTATACGCATGTGTAGGATCAAGTACATCACAGAACGTACTGGGGCCTTAATCAATTGAGTTACGCCGACTTTTGTTGATTAAGAAAATATCACGCGATTCAGAGTAGAATTTGCGCTCTCGCGATAACTGAAGCCCAGCGATAGCAACAAAGCTTTAATACTTGTATATAACATATATATATATATATATATTTATAAATATAGTACATTCAGGGAGGCGGCGTTAGCTGTCCCAAGGGGTTTAGATTTGTTTTGAAAACGAGCTTTTGGGCCCAAGTTCATTGACACAGCCACAAATGCTGCCCCAGCACACAACGCTTGCGTCAATGATCTTCGCTATCGATGAGAAACAGACTTCATTTCCAGAGGCCAAAGGGCCAACGCAACACACATACATATTCTAATATATGTACAGAGTACATTTGTTTATGGGATGCCACAGCTGGTGCCGACAAAAAAATGCTGAATGGATTTTGCGTGATTCTGTGATTGTAGAACGGCATCTACTCTTATCAGCGGGTAGCTATCCGCACGGGTACTGCCCATTGACCCTACCTCTGCACGGGGCTTCTATTCTCGTACTAATCGCTAAATTAACCCGGAAATAAGTATATTCTTATATTAGGAATCATTTAATTTTCTATGCTTTTAAGAACGTTTTTAACATTAAGTTTACAAAATATAATTAATATTTTTTTTATAATTTAACTGCTCGAAATAACAATATCTCATACTAGTTTTTTTTTACTATTTTTATATATAGTATATATATCATATATAATTATTTTTCTTTTTAGTTTTAGTTCTTTCTCAGTCTAGATGTACGCATTACAATTACAAC